TGTGTGAGAGAGAGAGAGAGAGAGAGAGAGAGAGAGAGAGAGAGAGAGAGAGAGTGAGAGGGGGAGCTACCTTAGCTTTGCTTCATTTTCTGAAAGGTACCACTCGTAGATTGGTGCTTTCTTCCTCTTGCCTTATTGTCCCTTCCTCTTCAAATAGGAGTTTGTTTGGCCTTTGTTAGTAGTAGAGTAGAGCCAGAGTGCACAGGGGTGAAGCCCCAGGACTTTCAGATTGGCAGGGACTGTGTCATTATCCACAACTACCCTGAGGCTTTCCTTTCCCTCATAACATTAGCTGAAACATTCTCAGTAGCTAGGAAGTAGATTTTCTCAAGACTAATCTATTGATCTACTGTATTAGCTTTACAAAAGTCCAGTTTCTCAATTGTTAATATAGATGGATTCAGCTGCCTGCATTTCTGGACTTTTGTCAGTGGGGAGCTACAGAGACTGTTGTAATGAGCATCTTCATTTCCACACTCACCAATAGACCATTGCCCTTTTTCTCCTTCTTCTGTAACAGCTGGAGAGCTGTGAGGGAACCTCCATGAGAGCCTTCAGCACTCTTCAACGTACAAAATTCAATTCTAAGTAATTTTGCACTGAAGTCTTTATCAGGAATTGATTTTTGAGCAATAAACTAAACTTTTTTCCTTTCGCCTTACCATAAGCATCCTGAATGATTACTCATGATTCATAGTCATTAGCTCATGTTACTAGCCTGTTGAACTCTGCTAACACAGTTACCACAAATTCCTGCAACTTTGCCTTAGCTGAATCAAGGAAAATGTGTTTCATTTATTTATTCTACTTCCTTTTTTAAAACATAGGCTTCCCCTTTTAGTATAAAAGCTTTCAAGATACCTAGCAACATCATTTGAACTTTCTAAATTAAAAACAAAACATAGTAAAATGGCAATAAAATCAGAAACCGGAATAAAAGCAGCATTTGTAAAAGTAAAAACCTCCATAAAAATGAAAGAGCTAAACAAATAAAATCCATTATCTAATTAAAAAGCTTGGGAGAGGTGGACAGTTTTATCTCTTCCTGAAAGCTTGCAAACTACATGCTAAACAGGTGGTTCTGGGCAATGTATTTCACACTTGGGTTGCCGCTACTAAGAAGGCCAAATGTTTGGTCAGTGGTCACCACCTGTTAACCTCACAATACAGAAGCAACGAGAGAAGAACCTTCAGGGAGATTTTAAAGGACTGAAAGTTCATACTGTTCTGGCAACTAAGAGCCACTTGACTGGGAAACCTGACAACACAGAATTGAACCAAGATGGGTGACATCTCAAGTCTAATAAAAGAAAATTAGTACAATCCAATTGATGGTGTCCTATATGGAATCAAACTCTATCTCAGCCTTCTATAGCATTATGGTATGACTACATTGGCAAACAATACAGGAAATATTCCAAGATTGGGATGGTATGATTTGCATGATTTTCCATAAAAGTCAATGGGAATCAGCCTGGAGTTTTCCCATCTAATCCCTAAATTTTTCATCCACTTCTGGACTTTCTGGGTTTTTTGGGAGTGGGAATTGAATACATTTACATCAGGTGGTGTGATAATTTGAGCCAGTGTGGAAGGGTTTGTAACCATCGTATTGAAAACCATTCCAGCTGGTACCTGGGTCTCCTTCCTTCCTTCCTTCCTTCCTTCCTTCTTTCCTTCCTTCCTTCCTTCTCTAGCATGAGATCAGTTAGTTAGACAACCCAAGGAGTAGGTGAGGAGAGTCAGGAATTGGCAGAGTGATAGAAGGAAGTTTTTAGGAAGCTCTGTTCTGACCATCCAGAGCTGCAGGAGGTGCAGTCAGAGCAGAGCAACTTTAAGCCATCTCCTCTCTGTGTGTGCCAATTTGTTGCTTTCTTCCTCTCTGTTTGGTCACATTGCTGTCCTAGCACTAGGACACCAAGCCTTTAGAAGAAGAAAAAGGAAAGGAAAGAAACAGAACAGGAAGGGAAGGGTAAACAAGTAACAACTCAATATTTGGCAGATCATCTTCTCCCACCCAGATCTACCCGAATCACCCGACATAGCCAGCAGGGACGGCTGAGGGGTCTGATGCCAAGGGAGGCCCGGAAGGAAAAAACAAGAAATCGGGCCTTCTCGGTGGTGGCCCCTTGGCTGTGGAATACCGCCCTACCGAAATTCGGCTGGCACCCTCGCTGGGCATTTTCAAAAGCCAGCTGGAAACTTGGCTATTCAAGCAGGCTTTCCCTTCAGTCAATTAAGTCAGTCTTATTTCTTATTTCTCTTCTTTTGATGTTTGCCTCTTGAGACTGTTTGCCTTAAATTAATTGTTACAATTGTAAATCTATGATATTATATTTTATATCGCTTTGTTTTTATGTAAAACTGTGTAATTGTTTTTAATAGGGGGGGGGAGATAGGCAGTCCAGCAGCGGAAGGCAAAACTGTGAACATAAGCTGTTCAACAGTCAACAACTGAGGAAGATCTATGTGTTCTCCTGGAACATGCTGTGGACTTTGCTCAGTGCCACTGACCTTGTGATTCAATGCAAGGCTGAGAGCGAAGCTCCCCACCCATTGATGAGCATTCATCACCGTTACTGTTTGACTGGGTGCCTGCTCAGTGGTGCACGGGGACAGGATTCCAGTATTTCTGAAAAGGAGATGGTTGCTGTCTTTTAAAAGATCTGAATAAACTTGTGTAAATAGCAGGCTCAATTTGACGGAAGTTGTTTCCTTTAGGAAATATGTGTAGCACCAGTTTGTATGAGGAGTGCATGGGTTGAAGCTTGTTTCCCCCCCCACATGACTTTGTTAAAGTAATTATAACAAAGTTACATTTGAAGTGGGTGCTTGTACATGTGTGTGTGTGTGTGTGTGTGTGTGTGTGTGTGTGTGTGTGTGTGTGTGTGAGAGAGAGAGAGAGAGAGAGAGAAGAGAGAGAGAGAGAGAGAGAGTGAGAGGGGGAGCTACCTTAGCTTTGCTTCATTTTCTGAAAGGTACCACTCGTAGATTGGTGCTTTCTTCCTCTTGCCTTATTGTCCCTTCCTCTTCAAATAGGAGTTTGTTTGGCCTTTGTCAGTAGTAGAGTAGAGCCAGAGTGCACAGGGGTGAAGCCCCAGGACTTTCAGATTGGCAGGGACTGTGTCATTATCCACAACTACCCTGAGGCTTTCCTTTCCCTCATAACATTAGCTGAAACATTCTCAGTAGCTAGGAAGTAGATTTTCTCAAGACTAATCTATTGATCTACTGTATTAGCTTTACAAAAGTCCAGTTTCTCAATTGTTAATATAAATGGATTCAGCTGCCTGCATTTCTGGACTTTTGTCAGTGGGGAGCTACAGAGACTGTTGTAATGAGCATCTTCATTTCCACACTCACCAATACACCATTGCCCTTTTTCTCCTTCTTCTGTAACAGCTGGAGAGCTGTGAGGGAACCTCCATGAGAGCCTTCAGCACTCTTCAATGTACAAAATTCAATTCTAAGTAATTTTGCACTGAAGTCTTTATCAGGAATTGCTTTTTGAGCAATAAACTAAACTTTTTCCTTTCACCTTACCATGAGCATCCTGAATGATTACTCATGATTCATAGTCATTAGCTCATGTTACTAGCCTGTTGAACTCTGCTAACACAGTTACCACAAATTCCTGCAACTTTGCCTTAGCTGAATCAAGGAAAATGTGTTTCATTTATTTATTCTACTTCCTTTTTGGAAAAAAAAAAGGTTTCCCCTTTTAGTATAAAAGCTTTCAAGATACCTAGCAACATCATTTGAACTTTCTAAATTAAAAACAAAACACAGGGTCCTGTTCAATTTTCTGCCAAACTGTGAACCCAGAAGAGGAAGCAACAATGTTGAGAGATCCAGGTGCCTGCCTGGTCATGTTTTTAGCATTTGCAGTAGCAGTGCAAGACCGCAAAAAAATCCTTTGCTGAAACCATTGCTATTGGTAAGAAATTGTTTGAAAATCACTTTCATCTTTCGCTTCTTAGAAACTGGGCAGAGAATTCAGAAAGGGCACAGCATTTCAGAGGTTAGGGGGGGAAAAACACCATAGAGGCATTTCACAGAAGTTTTAAATTCTGAATTATACCAAAATCACAAATTTTCAAGTCCATGTGCCACACTACAATTCCTGGGCTTGCTTGCTTGCTTGCTTGCTTTCCTTCTTTCTTTCCTTCTTTCCTTCTTTCTTTCTTTCTTTCCTTCCTTCCATCCTTCCTTCCTTCCTTCCTTCCTTCCTTATCTAGCATTAGATCAGTTAGTCAGACAACCCAAGGGGTGGGTGGGGAGAGTCAGGAATTGGCAGAGTGATAGAAGGAAGTTTTTAGGAAGCTCTGTTCTGACTATCCAGAATTGCAGGAGGCGGAGTCAGAGCAGAGCTACCTTAAGCCATCTCCTCTGTCTGTGTGTGCCAATTTGTTGCTTTTTTCCTCTCTGTTTGGTCACATTGTGTCCTAGCACTAGGACACCAAGGCTTTAGAAGAAGAAAAAGGAAAGGAAAGAAACAGAACAGGAAAGGAAGGGAAAACAAGTAGACAGAGGCACCAAGTGTGGGAAATAAATAAATAAATAAATAAATATAGACGAGGCACCAAATGTGTGGAGGGTTCAAATGATTAACAAGCTGCAGACAAACTTAATTTCCTCCCCTTTCTGTGCTGACTCCTGTGTGGTTGGTTAAAGCATATTAGCCCCAGGGAAATGTGACTTCACAGTGGATCCATCTGCATTTTCCACAGATGTAATTACATCATTAGTGAGACTGACTTCTGATTAGCCATAGCCAATAGTGCAGAAAGCTGGGAGCTGCAATCTACCAATCTGCAGAATGCAGCGCTTTGCCCATGCCTATTTTGGAATAATTTTGCCCCTTGAATCTTTACTGTTTGAAAGCAAAATATGTTGGAATATGCACAAAATGAAAGTCTGTTCACTTATGCTACATGGAAATGTTGAAGAGAAATGGACTGGGAGCACCTACTTCCACTGCTGTGGACATGTGCCTGAGAAGTGAAGAGGGAAATAAAATGTCCTAGACTTGAATAACACAAGTGACACAGAAAATGGAATTTGAGAGATAATCTTTCTAAACTGTGCACAGAGATCTTAGCTTATATTTAAAAAGTCTTGTGATTCATTCTAGAGGAGCAGACAATTGAGGTTGAGGGTGTGCAGAAAATATTCATGGGATGTGAACCTAGCATAGTCTGGGGCTCTTCAGAGCTTAGCTTATATTTAAAAAGTCTTGTGATTCATTCTAGAAGAGCAGATAACTGAGGTTGAGGGTGTGCAGAAAATCTTGATGGGAATGTGAACCTAGCATAGCCTGGGGCTCTTTAGAGCCGAGATGAATAGTTAGGATCTGCTTTATATAAATTAAATAGCAGTTCATTTTCTGATGTGGGCTGTGATATCAAGTATTTGTCATCAGGAAAGACAGAAGTGCTCCTGCACTGAATCTTGCAGTCCTGTGCACACTTATTTTGGAATAAGACCCACTGACATCAGCAGAAGATAGGTAAAGGTAAAGGTTCCCCTTGACAATTTTTGTCCAGTTGTGTTCGACTCTAGGGGGCGGTGCTCATCCCCATTTCCAAGCCATAGAGCCAGCGTTTTGTCCAAAGACAATCTTCCGTGGTCACATGGCCAGTGCGACTTAGACACGGAATGCCGTTACCTTCCCACCGAGGTGGTCCCTATTTATCTACTTGCATTTGCATGCTTTCGAACCACTAGGTTGGCGGGAGCTGGGACAAGCGACGGGAGCTCACTCCGTCGCGTGGATTCGATCTTACAACTGCTGGTCTTCTGACCCTGCAGTACAGAGGCTTCTGCGGTTTAGCCCACAGCGCCACCACGTCCCACGTCAGCAGAACATACTTTTGAGTAAACATGCCTAGAGTTGTATTAGAAAGCTCCTTGTAAATCTACCTTGTCTCATATAACAATGTCTTTCATCTTTATATCCCATGACTTTGCCCAGTGTTACTGTGTCTGCTGCTACCACATGTAGCGAAAACCATTTATTTTCTTATCAGTCACAATAGATTCAGTTCTAGATTTTGGTGCCCTCTCAATTGTGGTGTCCTGGGACAAAGTCTCAGTTGCTCCAGGTTAGTTAGAGCCCTTACGACAGATTGGCTCAGTTAAGGGAAGCTGGTTCTGCATTAAAAAAATAAACAGTGGTAGCTTTTGGATGCCAGAATTCGTATCTCTTGTGACACCAACCAAAAGATGACCAAAAACGTGGAAGCTTTTGGCACTGAAGGATGCCTTCCTACTTTTCATTTCTTTTATGATGAACTGGAATGAGTGTTTTACTTTGCCCTTCAGTTGAGGTAATGGTGAGTTCAAGGTTTACGTGTTGACCCAGCTGTTTTGACCTCTCTGGGGGAAAAAAAGTGATCACCCCCTCTTTTAACTTCAGACAGGAGCAAAGAGCATTACTTAGCATGACGCCTGTGAAATCGGAGAGTTTGGAGGATCTCTTGGAAAACTTGAGTCTCAAGCCTATTGATTCACCTCAAGTAAAGAGTTTGTCTCGTCAAGGTGAGTGGCGTAAAGGCATCAGAACTGCTTCAGTCCAAGGGGAGAAATAGCTGACTCCAGTTTTAAACTGGAGGGAACTTGGACATGAAGCTTTCTTGGGTCCCTTTCACAAGATCCATAATAAAACACTACTGGAAGCAAAAGGAATACATTGTGTCATGCATATGCCTGAATTTTAACAGACCCTATTGTCTCTCAGTCACAAGAGGTCAGACGGCCCTGTGCCACGACTGCCACAGGCAGCAGGAATTTGTGGCACATCTGAAAGTTTAAAAAAAAAGGAGGACATTTTGTCAGCATTAGAATTGCCAGGGACAGGCAGCTGGTTGCAAAGGGTAGGTTCAGGCATCTTCTGTGGTGGAAAGAGGGTGCAAAAAGGACATGTTCAGGAAGGAGTTAGGGTGGGGAAGTGGTGGCCTTTTCTGCTTAGTAACACATAAGTTGAGTTTGGTCTCAAAATGCTGCAGTTGAGGGGATGTGGTCCTCAACAACCAGCAAAAATCCCCTGGCCCTGCCTGTTTCCCCAACCCTGTTTCCAGCCTGTTTCTTCAAAACCCAGTCCTGCTGTTTTGCCAAACAGCAATGCTGTGCTTTTATCACCACTTCTTGCTTTTAGAAGAGAAGTCAGAAGGAAAGGAATGGGAAGGAAACCCTTGTATTGTGGTGTTTACTGCAACGGCAGTGCTTTGCACGTAACTCATGGTACAGTTGCTGAAAAACTTGAGCATCGTGGCTGGGTGTATCTAAAATGTATCTGTCCTGAACATGATAGAAGTAATATATGGATGCTACTTCCCTTTAATTTTTGTTGCTGAAGAACAAAGGCAAATATCAGCTTATATTTTTGTAGATCAAAATGTAGCAAGGAAAATTCTTAGCTTTGAACCGTGGAATCCTTGTCTGGGGCAGGGGCACTGGAAGCGAAGTGTCTCATTGTTTCAGCTCCAAAGACATTAACAAGGCGTTCTTTCTTCATGCATGCCCTATTGCCATGACGTACATGATTAGATTCCCTGTCCGGCAAAGATCATTTGCAAGTTTGCACAGGAAAAAATGTAAAGCATTTTGGATATGTCCAAGTCCTTGCTGTTTGCTGTGTAAATTGTGATTACTCCCCTTCTGTTTACTATGAAAAAGTCCTCTTGCAGTTGGCAAAGCACTAGGAAGGCAGTAGATTGGGTTTGTGTTCTCTCCAGGAAACCTTAAATCTCTTAGGCTAAACTACAAATACTGGGATGTTGGATTATGTTTTGATCCTTAAATCACTTTTGCTAACAATCTGTTTGGCTTTTGCCTCTCACTCTTTCAGTTATTAATGAAGTCTGGAGAGAGCAAACAATTGCTCGGCTGCTGCATCTCATTGACCTTCCACTACTTGACTCTTTACTGGAGTACCAAAAGTCACGAGACAGATTTCCACAAATGAAGCAGGAATCTGAGTGTAGCTCTGCCAGCAACTATCTGGACCGAGAGATTCTGAAAGCTTTTGGTGACTCGCAGTGAGTACATCCATGAATAAGTAGTGAGGCCAAAACCTGATTTACAGAAAACATTTTAATGTGCCTTGCGGAGCAAAGACCATCAGTAGTGAATAGTTAGTTGGACTGTGTTACTTGGCCTGCGGTGTAGATGTTTGTATTTTTAGTGGGGACTTTTAGTGGGTGGGGAGTGTTGGTGGATTTTTTAGTGGGTGGGAGTGTTTGGGGAATTTTAAATGTGTGCATATGTTGCTGTCCTCTGAAGATGCCGGCCACAGAGACTGGCGAAACGTCAGGAAGAACAACCTTCAGAACACGGCCAAAGAGCCCGAAAAACCCAGAACAACCATTAGATCCCGGCTGTGAAAGCCTTCGCAAACAAATAAATAAAAGAAGCTGCTTTTGAAAAAGGGTATGGGCCACTTTGGGGGCCTTGATCTCTCCTCGTTATGGGTCTTTAACCTTAAATCAGAGTTAGATGGGATGATGCTTCAAGTAGAGGACTTATTCAGAATACTTCCTCTAGGCAGCCCTATAGATAGAGGACTGTCCTCACTAGAAAAGGACATGTAGCCACCCTGGGAAGGGTTGGAGTTTGGGAATGTGACTTTCTGAGTTCATTCAGAACTGGCCATGCTGGGTCAAAAGGAAACTTTTCCAAACTCTGAGAAGAGCAGTGTGAGTTCATTCAGGAAAATCACACAGAGAAGAGTTTTCTGCTCTTACTATTACTTATTTAAATATTTTTACCCTCCCTTTCTCCTTAAATGGACCCAAGCATGCAACTTCAGCATGAATTATGGTATTCCTCGCAGAAGTGCTAAAAACATTCTGAAAACAAAAGACAACACAATAGTTCAACCACATACCCACTGCTGCCCCCTCTGGACATCTGTCATATCCTTCTAATTTGGTGCCCTTTCCATTCTAGTTTGGTGCACGTTCCATTGATATCAAAGGAAGTTGGTCATGACTAACTTTACCCAAAGCAGAGTGAGCGTTGTTGAAAAAAAGATACAGGTGGAGGAATTTTCCTTTTCTAGGGCGGATGAATGGCTATCAGCTGCAATAGACTGTCTGGAGTATCTACCAGATCCAATGGTGGTTGAAGTGAGTCGAAATTTACCTGATGGGCCTGAAAAAGTACACGTGGGGAAACTGCTGCTGTTTGATACTCTTGGAAGATACTACAGCCAAAAGAAAGAGCCCCTCTTAAATCATGCACCTGATATCCATCTGGGAATAGCAGAACTGCTAGGTAAGTGTGATGAAATCCAAGGAGCAGGGAAATGCCAAAGTCTTCATTTGGCACATATTCTTTTAATAGTAAAGTGATCGCCCAGGTGAAATGGAACTGTATGGAGAAAGAGGTGGTTTCTCCCTAATCTTGGGAAACTGCAGGTATACAGGCAACAAACCCCGAATGGTAAACTGCAGTAAGAGAATGGAATTCAACATATGTAGAGTGGCCCAAAGACTAAATCTAACCAGGTTACCAGAACTGGGGGCAAGAGATGGGGGTAAAGAAAGGTGTGCCCCCCCATTAAGCTGCTCATTCCAGGATCCTCTAAGCTGCTAGGAGGTAGGCAAGGAGGGGCCCTCTAAATGTTGTGGTCAAGTAATGCTGGGCGTGTTACAGTGCCATAATATCTGGAGGTAGTTTGTAGTTTGCATCACTTCAAGTTAGGTTCCCTTCACAGCAGAAAGATTTTTTAGGCATAGACTTGTGAATTCTGACTGGAGGTGAAAGTGCTTCCTCTGATCCAAATTGATCTACCCCAAGACTATTAAAGTTGTGTAGTGGTCAGACTATGTAGTGGGAATGGGAAACTGGCAGATCTACACATTCCCCTGCTCAGCTTGGTAACTTGAGCAATGATCTGGTTCCACTCCTCCCCCTTTTTGCCCTTCAAGGAATTGCTTTGCAACATTGTCGAGTCTGTTAAATAGTATTTTGCCCAGAAAAAGTTTCATGGAGGAAAGGTGTAATACAGTGTTTTTTCCAACTTGATTGTCAGGGAAGCTTTATATTCTTTGCAAGTTCATTAAGAATTCTTCTATATTGCAAAAACATCTGAAATTTGTCTTGGAAGTTTCCACCTTGCCTTTCTAACTCCAACAATTATGCTGAGGAATTGCATTCAATAAAAATATGTGTATGCCCAAAGCATTGGCATACCTGGGCCCAGTATTCAAGATAACACTTGCCAGATAATGGCTGAAATCCAGTTGCAAGTTACAACTAGAATGGGCCCATTGAATCAATGGAACTTACAAAGGATTTGACTCACCAAATCTCTACTGACTCAACAGGCCTGCTCTAGTTTTGACTTAATTGTATTTCAGCTAAAGTAAAGGTAAAAGTTCCCCTTGACAATTTTTGTCCAGTCATGTTCGACTCTAGGGGGCGGTGCTCATCCCCATTTCCAAGCCATAGAGCCAGCGTTTTGTCTGAAGACAATTTTCCGTGGTCACATGGTCAGTGCGACTTAGACACGGAACACTGTTACCTTCCCACTGAGGTGGTCCCTATTTATCTACTTGCATTTACATGCTTTCGAACTGCTAGGTTGGCGGGAGCTGGGACAAGCGACGGGCGCTCACTCCATCGCGTGGATTCGATCTTACGACTGCTTGGTCTTCTGACCCTGCAGCACAGGCTTCTGCAGTTTAGCCCGCAGCGCCACCACTTCCCTGTATTTCAGCTAGTAGTTGACAATACCTGGAATCTTATGTGTCTTTGTGAGCATTCTGTCTGCTTTAATAATAGTTCACCCACTATGCATATAATATTTTCAAAAATCAACCCTGCCACATACATCCTCCTGTTCTACTACTAACCTTATACAGTAGGGATGCTCCCAAATTACTGTGTATAGTGTGCTTTTCCAGAACAGTCTTACTGACTGGAGTTGGCAGCAGGTTGGAGCACAAGGCTATGAAGCCAGTGGTTGAGAGTTAATATCTTACTGTGCCTCCTGGGAAAACAATCAGACTGTATAGACTTGGACAGGTTACATTGTCAAACAGCACCACTAGAAGCAGAGACTAGGAAATCACTCCTAACTGATTTAAGGTTAAAAAACCATACATCAGCATCCTAATTATTGTTGTTGTTCTTAATTACCTTGTATTCTGACTTGTGCAGTGCGTGCTGTACTGAAACCGTGGTTTCACTTGTGCTTCAGTGGCATCAGATATATTGGGGCACTTGTTTTATTCTTTTCTGTTTCAAAAACTTGAAACTTAGAGTCTTCTAGATAGCTTATTCATTGGCCAAACAAAGGTGGAATTCTGGAGGCATTAGATAGCTTTCATGGTATCTTCAAAGGATGTTGCAAAGATGAATTAAATATAAAAGCCATGCTGACTTAAATCAAAGAGCTACTGTATATAATCAGCATCAGAATGCCAGTAAGTGGGACAACAACACTCCGAGTACTCAATACTTATCAGCACCCCCTTGTAGCACTCTCCTGCTCTTGTTCCTAGCAACCAGTGTTGAGAGACTTACTGCTTCTGGGTGCAGTATATATAGCCATCTTGTCTAGTGGCATCAATAGTCTTATCCTCCATGAATTTATCTGTCTCCCAAAGCTGAAACTAACAATATTGGCACCAAATGCCACCTACTCCGGGACGTGGACAGACCTGTTTCCAAGAAAAAATTAGATGAAGTTGGTTAGTCCCTCCGAAAAAGATATGGTTTATCTTTTTTTAAAAAGGAAAGAAAGTGGAAAGGGCAGCAGGCATCATCATGCCAACATCCTCACTAGATTCCCTCTAGATTTTTGTCCTCTAGGGCAACGCTCCATTTGCTCCTGACTAGTGACCTCTATTTTCATCCCTTGCGCTGTCATCTCTGCATCTTGAGCCTAAGGAGGCAGGACATACTGTCTCCTGAAATGGAATTTCTCTTCAGGTATGGCACTTGGTGGATATCCACTCTGTGCCTCTGCTCCCCTTAGGGATGCACAGAACAAGGGACTTGTATATCAGATAGGTAATTCAGTCCAAAAGTAAGCTAAGATTGCAGTGTTTAATAAGTTGATCTTTCCACAGTAAGAAGGAACTGGCAGTCTGGGCAGAACCCATTCAAAGGACAGGGGAAGAGCTTCATGCACAGGCCATCTATTCCAGATTTCTAGATGACTAGCTGCATTCTTCAGCTAATAAATTACTTTCTTGTATTCAATGTATGCCGTTTTTCCTTTTTTTCAAGTGCATGCTGCAGCTTAATAGTAACTGCATGTTTTATTAGCAGACTTTACAAGTTTGTGGTGGGTTAGTTGGCAGTGTTTCAGTAGAAAAGTAATACAATGTGTGTGCTAACCAAACTGCATCCTTTGCTCTTTGGTTTCTTTCAGTCAATGGAAAGAACGATCAAGCTTTGGAAGCAATTCAGCTCTACCTGAAGTTGCTGGAGAGCCCAATAAGGGAGGAATTCAGGAGGCTTCTTTACTTCATGGCTGTTGTTGCTCAGAATTCTGAGCTTAAGCTGCAAACAGAGGCAAGTGGGATCACTGGGGTTGATGGGGGTGAGCAGTAGAGATCCAATGCCATCTTTGGTGACATGGATCCACTTGAGCACAGCACCAGCTTGGGCCACTTGTTGACACAGGAAATACAAGATTATTAGGTAGTAACCCATGCTGTGATTTCTTCCCATGGCAGCACCTATGTTCTAGTTCAGCCATTCTCAACAAAGGGGGGACATAGTACATTTGAAGGGGGCCACAGACTGGAAACAATTCTTCATACACCACCATATAAGGTTTGTTATGCATCTTATACAGTCCTGATTTGGCCTATATTTCTTCCATATTGTGTTTATGACTGTGGCAAAAGAAAAAAGAAAAAAAGAGGAAAGGAATAAGTTGAGAATGGCTGTTCTAGATAACTTGCTCTGGTAAATGAGTTAGGAATCAGAGTACAACCTTTTCTTCACTGGCTAGAATCCTACTGGTGATTGCATAACCTGCCATAGCTAACTGACAAGGTTCTTGATCATCTGCTTGGTCACCTGCCTGATTATATAGTGAAAATATACCCCTGGCGTCATGCTGATTATAGCCATGGCAAGTGATGCAAACTTTCCATAATCACAAATAGGATTCCAACTGTTGTTTCCTCTGTTTTTCAGAGTGACAATCGGATGGTTGTGAAAAGAAATTTCTCTAAAGCTATAGTCAACAATAAAAATCTATCTAAAGGAAAAACAGACCTTCTGGTTTTGTTTTTAGTTGACCGCCAGAAAGATGTCTTAAAGGTCAGTGGCTTATGATTCCCCCTTCCCTTCCCTTCTGCTTGTTACTCAGTGGCTACTCAGCTTTGAAGAACTGGAAGTTATTGTTACTGTGTGTGCTTTTACTCCAGATTCCAGGGACATTGCACAAAATGGTTAGTGATAAGCTTGTGGCTATGCAACAAGGCAGAGATTCCAACCTGAATACAGGTAATCATTATTTTAGTAGCACTTTAGTCACTTTGATAAGAAGTTGATATTTATTGTGACCCACTTTAGGCACACTCCACAACAGAAATGCAACATGTAAATAAGCTAAGCTTCTCCAGAAATGTCTTGTACTCTTATGCCATTTGTTACCTTAAATGTTATCTCATGTTTTGGATCGATAACTGTTTATTAGAACAGTGGGTTCAGTTAATGGTCCATTAGATCAATTAAGGTTCTTTTAATAAGAAGATAAATAATAAAGGCCAGGGTCGGGTAATAATATGTAGTACTGTATGTGACCTATATACACCTCTACCATTTTCGTCCTCCCAACTGCACCCTCATCACTGCTAGTGATCCTGGCACCAAAACACTGCCAAAAATCACTGGCTCACATACAAATGAATTCAATAAATGTGGCTCGCAATCATGAATTCAATAAACATGGGCACCTTTGTGTACTGCATGCTGTATACCAGGAAAGCTGTCTGTGTATTAAGTTTTACCACTATAATCTAATAGATTAATTTATAATTTACCAAATAATTTTTTTCATGTTCAGGATATACTTTCTGCCAGAGGCTCGATGAAAGCGAGTATCACTGCAGTGCTAAAAAGACTACAAAAAAGGAACTTGTATCTTTGCTGAAAACAATTGATGAGGACTCCAGTCTTTCTGCCAAAGAGCGAAAGAAGTTACTTGATCAATTCTATGCTAGTAATCCAGCTATCTTTTTGCAATATTTTGACGAGAGAGGCACTGATGCGGCCGTGTACTTCTAGATATAACGGAAGCTGTGTGTTTTGGCAACACTTTCTTGTTCTTTTAAAAGGTTTTTCTGTACCTAAATAAACTTGTTTTGTATATATGGTTGGAAATAACACTATCTGAAAAGAATTAAAGCTGCTGATTTGTAATCTCATTGTATCACCAGTCCTCTTTTTAAACACCTAGGCTGGGGAAGAAGATTTAAGTCAAGGGTTTATAGGCTTCGTTATCACAGTTTTGATCAAATACTAATAGGTTAGATCTAATATTAGACTCACTGAAATGAATGAGACTTGTTTATCATGGGAAATAAGTCCCACTAGATTCCATGGGTTTACTCTACTTGGAACTAACATTGCTTTTATCTTAATGTAATCTTCTGACAATGCCTTTAACTGGAGGAGATTATTGCTATTTCATCCTAAATATCAAAGCTCTTTTCACTGTCAGTTGTTTGCAAAAATAATGGGATTGATTGATTGATTGATTGTTCTGTGTTGATCTTGAACTAACAGACTACCACTGCCTCTTGATAATTGTATTAGTATCTGCAACTGTTTTTTAAAATTTAATCTTCATAATGGAACATACATTCCCCCAAAGTCTAATGCAGCATTTGTCTATCTGCTTATTTGCACATAAGCCCATCCAAACAGAGTGGGCTTCAGAGCAAACATTAATGGAACTGGGCTACATCATGATCTTTATAATAAGTTTGCTACTTTAGGGCATGCTGTCTTCTATGACCATCTCATCTTATCCTTGTCCAAGCATTTAACCCCTTACTCTATTTAGCAGCATGCTGAAATATACAAGACCAGAGGGCCTAGGTAACTGCTTTGATAGTAGTACAACATAATCCAGACTGCAGGAGTGCTGGTCAGAAAATAAGCATTTGACTATAGGACCAAAGGTTATATAAACTGCCATTGTACTGGATACCAAGGAGTTTAAAAGACTGAGATACTTGAGTGGTCATCATTTCCATCAGAATCCTTAACCGGTTCTTGTTATGAGCTTCTCTATAAATATAAAACTGCAGATGATGGTGATCTGGAATGAATAGTGTGAAAACACTTTTTAGACATGGAGATAGTCAAGAAAACATCTACATAAATCTGCAGTGGAAATCTAGTGGACTGTGGCACTGGAAGTTTTTGTGTATCTAAACAGGACAGTTATAAATCACAGCTGGCACTATATAACTACTCCTGCCCTTACATGGACATAACAAGAATTGCATCATTGCAGAAAGACTGATGATAAGTAGAGGTTGTTGTGTCGAACAATAGGAACTTGAGGCCAGCTGCTTTTTTACATAGGCCAATTATGAGTAAGAGTTTCCAATATGTCCCATTAAAACTGTTTGTTCCCCAGATATTACTGTTTTTTTAATCCTTTTTATGTTTACTGCATAGATTGCATCTAATGTTTTTAGACTACAAATATTATTAATCCTCAGGAAGTTCTTCACTGACTTCCTAAAATATAGCCGAAAGCTAATAATAGAGAACTGAATCTGGATCCTTTTGTCTGTTGATGTATTCTCATCCTCAGCATGATGAGGCATACTGGAGCTACCTGTGGCAGTACACCATGCTTGAAAATAAAAAGCATAACCTAGGACTCAGTATTCCAGGGTGACATGGCAACTTGGAAATACTTTGCAAATGGGGATTGGAAATGCAAAGAGCAATATAGAACTTCAGTGTCAAAAACAAAATGCTGGCGAAAACCCCATTGCTTCGCATAGTAAGGCCCATTGAATCAGTGGGGATTTGGGGAGTCAACTCTGCGGTTTCACTGATTTAAATGGCCCTACTCTAGTTGAGATTTAGTCTAGTGTAGCAAGTTGCAACTAGAGGAGACACATTTGAATGAACTGAACTTAAGGAGGAGTTGATGCACCAAGTCTCCACTGATTTGGTGGGCCAGTTGTAGTGCAACTTACTGTGCCAAGCACCAGGATTTCAGCCATAGAATGACTAGAACCACACTACTTTTGCATTGTTTCCACTAATCTTACATGCATTTCTGTTTCTACCTCGTTAGAGCGCCAGTTAACCCCCACAATGTTTTTACGTGTGCTCAAATCAGACATTAGAGCAACTTTACTAGGGCTTTCAAGCTGAAAGTCAAATACCATATAAGTCTAAAAATTTAAAATAGTATAAAACTAGAAAATTACTCAAATTGTTTCATCCCATCCACTTACTGTTCTTGGATTCTGGGGCAGAAACAAATCCACACAGAAAAGCTATCTAGATAGTATATTGCATGTTGGAGTGGTCAAGGCTGATTCAAGGCTCTGGTGGGCAAAAAAATATAATAGTGGGGGCCCCTTCCTCCCCATTCCCTCCCACCTAATTAGGTCACACAACATGAACAATGTGATATAACATAAATAAGACTGACTTGTGAAGGTAATCTTGGTAGCAGTAAATAAGTGAGCAATGCTTAAGTAACAACATAACAATGAAAATAAAGTCTAGCTTATGAGGGAGGGGTGGGGCAATGGAAGCCTAAAGCTGAAGTTCGAACCACTCTGCACATGCTTGGAGAAACGTTGTGTACATCGTCTGCAGAACATGCCAAGTCTGCAATCCACAACAGGCCCCACATGGAGGAGAGGGAGGGAGACTGCCTGTTGGGTGGGGTTGCAGGATGCTGGGCTCAGGAGTGGGAGGAGACAGACAGCTGCAGGTGCTTTGAAGGAACAGCCACTGTCACCCAACTGAGAGTGTCTCTGAGCCTAAGCAGAGTGCCCTGTGCATCCCAGCTGGGCTTCCCCCCCCCCGACCTCCATCAGGAGAGGTGGGTCTTGCTGAGGCACCTGAGCTCCAGGATGCCATTGGGGCAGCTGAGGGCAAAGACGGCTGTGTGCACCTCCAGAGGTGTGGTTCCCTCAGGGCCCCAGAAGATGTCTCCTAGTCTAGCAAGTCTTTAAGGTGCAGGAGGGCACCCTTCTCCTCGTTGGGCAGTGGTGCTCAGCAGCACCTCCTGCAGACGTGCCTCCGGCTCTCGGGTGATGTCACCCAGCACAGGAAGAAGATCAGCCGCTCTGGCAGCATCCATGGTAGCCCCAGCCTGGTCTCAGGGGGAGCAGAAAGGAGGCGGAGTAAGATGGTGCATCCAGCACAGGGCCCCGCAGCTCTTCTCTGGGCACAGCAGTGGGGATGTGGTGGGCCATTGGGGGCAGGACGTGGAGCTGAGCACCATCTGCCCGTCATCCAGCCCCCTTGGCCTGTCGGCCAGGAGCACCAACTGCATTTACTGCACCACCACCCCAGCCTGGCCTAGCCATCACAATCCCAACAATTCCCAGCCTCCTGCTGCTGCTCGGGCCACTCCATCCCCCTCTTCATGTGGACCCTGGGCAAATGCCCACTTTGCTCTCTGAATAAAATGGCCCTGGAAGTGGTATATCACTTTTCTCAAAGGCTTGCTAATAAAGATGACTGCAATCATAAAGGCTAGAAAACTATTTCAAATTACCAAGCACCAAAAGAATATGGATAAAAACATTGTCTGTTACAAACACTGCTGTAGGGTAGAACATCCCAGAGTAGGCCAACAAGAGATATCTAATAGTGCCTGAAAAGCTAATCTGGGTCTAGTTTTTGATACCAGTTTTTTGTATTTCAGTGATTGGTTTGTCCCATGGCTTCCCTTCTCGCCTGATGGTATCATATTCTGCTTGTGCTTGCATTTTTTCCCTTGTGTTCAATAGCTGATTATAATGCTCTCTCTGCAAGAAACAGAACCTGCTTTTACAGAGGTACCAACAGGAAGCAAAATATAGCCTGAAAAGGAACAAATCTTGTATCCCTGATCTTTCCAGTTTGTATGAAGAAACTGTGGGTAATATTTTAGGAGGCAGCATGTCCAAAGAGGAAGAGAGTAATCTAGTTTATTATGCACTTACCTCTGTGAAAATCTATCACTTCTCTTTCCAGAGTTCTCTCATTATCTATTTGAGGCAAGCTGTTATTTCCACCACCCCCGCCCCCCAGAAGCCAATCTGGACAGTGGGAAAATTCCAGCTAGACCCACAAGAGACTATAGAGGAACAGAAGCATGCAAATTTGACGAAGCTTTACCATTTATGCCTACTATTAATGTTGGCTTTGTATTTTCTCCAGCACCTAAAGCAGTGTGATTTTTCTTCTCCGTTGTTAGGAATAAGGACAGGGGCACTGTTGCCCAAAATCTCCCAAAGGCAGATTTTTTTTTACTGTGAAAAGAATGACACAACTCTTCTTATTTTGCCCATCCTAACACAATAAAACACAAACTGAAGATAAAAGACATCCAAAATCATCTCACATGATTACTGGGCATTAAAGATCTTTCCAACAGAATGACAGCAAGCGACATAAGTTGGGAACAGTAATGAATATTATCCCGAAGTAAGAAAGCCATATCACCTATGCCCTCTTTCTTCCAAGAATAATACATAGGGCAAAGAAACATGATTGGATATTGCCATGTTAACAGCCTCCATAGAACAGTGTGGCTTTATTAGCTTACTTTATTGCTGCCCTCTAATGCAAGGGTGAACAAGCCAGTTATTACATTACTAAAAAGAAAGACTACTAGTGTGTATTAAATGTTTAAAACTTGTATATTCTGGATTTCTTTAACAGCTAAGACATAACTAATCTGTGTTGTTGTTGCTTAATTGTTAAATCATGTCCGATTCTTCGTGACCCCATGGACCAAAGCACGCCGGGCCCTCCTGTCTTCCACTGCCTCCCAGTGTTTGGTCAAATTCATGTTGGTAGCTTTGATGACACTGTCCAACCATCTCATCCTCTGTCATCTCCTTCTCCTTTTGCCTTCACACTTTCCCAACATCAGGGTCTTTTCCAGGGAGGTTTTTCTTCTCATGATATGGCCAAAGGATTGAAGCCTCAGCTTCAGGATCTGTCCTTCCAGTGAGTATTCAGGGTTGATTTCCTTCTAAATGGATAGGTTTGATCTCCTTGGAGTTCAGGGGACTCTCAAGAGTCTCCTCCAGCACCACAACATCTATTCAACATAGATTAACACATTAATCTGTGTTAATCTATGTTAAATGATGCTGACTGGAAGTTTTACTGAAGGACTTCCTCAGCTCAATCTGACCAAGGTCCATCTAGTTCACATCAGAATTTCTTGCAAAAATCCCACTAACCAGCAGGGAACAAGGAATCTACAGAGGGAAAAATGTATCCTGCCCGCGTCTTATCTATTATACTTGGTTCTGGGGATAATTTAGTTCTCATTTCAACAAGTGTCACTGCGGGGGCAAGAAGAAAGTGCTTCAGCCTCTCATTGGGAAAAAGAGAATAGCGTTTATTCATACATTGTTGTTTTGCCATATATGAGAACTGAGAAAGTAAAAAAAAGCAATGGTAAAGAGGAACCGTAAGAAAAATCTTCATTACTCTCGATTAACGTAGAGGGGCCTGGATGGTGGTGGCTCCTTGTTATGGCTCATGGACCTAGATCACTCCCCCCAAAGAAGCTCAGCGAGCACCAACTTTGATAAATTTTGTGCTATGCTAAGAGGAAGTCTTCTATTTATTCACCCAGGCATTCGAGCATATTCAGTTCTTCTTGTTTACACAAATCCTGCGCGCGCCCGCGCCCCCCTCCTTTAACTCATCATATTGTCTGCTGCTGCTTCTGTAGCTTTAGTACGAAGCGTCTCTTTCACACTTCCCATCATCCTCCCCCCCCCCGCTCGCCTGCCCAGGGAGCGTCCAGACATGGCGGCGCCCTTCGAGGAGTCCAGACCTAGTTCCGGCCCGCAGTAAAAAACCCCCGGCGCTGGCCCTGAGGCGCGGAGGAGAAGCACGAAGCCTTTCCCGACGCGCCCCCTCTCTCTCTCGTTCGTGGGGTGGTTCCCCGGCCGCTGGTCAGTCGCCACCACGCCCAGCTCTCGGAAAGAGAGAGAGCCGGAACCCCTCGTTGGAGGGCTGGCCCCTCTTTTGGTGCAAAGGACCTGCCGCCCCGCCGCCTCCAGGTAAGCGAGCTCAAGGGGGGGACGGGCGGTGGGCGGTGGGCTCGCCCTGCTCTGGCCATGGCGACCCATTCCTCCATTGCGTGTGTCCGCGTCCCCCCCCCCAACCCTCCCCCAGCCCCCCCCCCCGTTATTGGGTCAGTACACGGGCTCTTTTGCTGCCAGGATACCGCCCATTGTTTCAGGATGGGAAGGAGGAGAAAAAAAACAAAGACCAAAAGAAGCTCCCTCTTCTGCCCCCATCCCTTTTTCTGTGCCATCTTTGCTCTACACTCAGCAGCCCCAAAGAGCGGAAGCTCTCGGGGTCCTCTCACGAGGGAGGGGGGGCAAACGGGGAGCAGAGGCGCCCCAGGTTAGCCTTGCCGCCCCCCCGCCCCCGCTGGCGCTGCTGCAAAATTGGCGTTGTTCTCCGCCCCAGGCCGAAGCGCTGAGTCAGGGGGCTGTGGGTTACGAAGTGTGCCATTTCACACGCACGCGCATACACGCGGGCACCGGGTAATAATAATAATAATCACCGCCCTGTCTGTTTGCTACACACGCTGCCATCGCTGGGACCTCGTCGAGATGGAAAGAGGAGAAAAAGGCCGCTTTCTGCCTAGTTGAACAGTCTCATGAAAGGGGAGAACTCCCACAATTAAAGGACCATGTGCATATCTATATTAAATAATTGTCAGTTTCCTGTCAGCAGATGCACCTGCCACTCTTGTTTTCAGAGGGTAGCCATGTTAGTCTGTAGCGTGCTGGAGCCAAAGCAACAAAAGGGTCTTGTGGTACCTTAAAGAGTGCCAAGTTTGGGGCATGAGCCCACTTAATCAATCTTTTTTTTGTGTGTGCTTTATTTAAAAAAAAATAAGCCCAACTGGATTCAGCAAGGCTTATTCACAAGGTAAATGATTACATAGAATTCAAACTTTAGCCATTCAGCTTCTGGGTAAATATTAGGGGATATTGTTCGTATCAGAGACATATAGAATGAATGGGACTTCCTAAATATCACAGCTTTTCAGCATCAGTATCATCATCATCATCATCATCATCATCCCCACAATAATGATGATGATGATGATATAATAATAATAATAATAATAATAGATAGACACCTTAATAGAACAGAAAAATGTCTGGATAATAGACATTGCAATTCCAGGGGATGCCAGAGTTTAAAATAAGGAATTGGAAAAATTAACAAAATATGGACACCTGACAATTGAAACATCTCGTTGTGCAAGAAACACTCTTCGGTGGTCCCTGTAGTCATTGGGGCTTTGGGAACAACATCAAGAAATTTCACACAGTACTACTGTATAGTTGCAGGTCTCAGAAATAACACCACCAGAGCTAAAAAAAATAGCAGTATTAGGAACAGCATAATACTGCGCCAATATTTAACAGATACTTGGGTTGTTGTTTTTAACCAGTCAATGTTTTTATAATGTTGACCGTGCCTGGTATTTTTGAATAATAATATGTTATTTAATAATTGGATACCCTCCCTTCTCCTGAGAAGTATTTTGGTTTTCTAAATTGCTGTTCCTGTTCAAAACTTGCTTATGTCAGTTTAGGAATGTTTATGAACTACTTTGAAGGAAAATATAATTCAGTGGAAATAGTTGAGAGTTGATTAACATCTTTGTTTCTTCCATTCTTCACCTTCTGTTGCATGCTTGTTTGACTAGTCATGTTGTTGTAGTTTAGAAGACAGTAGTTTAGGAAAGAGGCCAGTCATGTTGTCATATACTGTAAATAAAACTCAAATAAAGTAACTTCTCCTCCATCATTGCTTTAAGTCCAAATCCAGCTCTAATACTGAAAACCCCTAATTCTGATTGCAGCATATACCTTTCAAAAATGTAATGGTATCAGTTTAAAAAAGGATTTTTCAGATTCCCCACCCCCTTTATTTCTGAGCTTTTGTTTACTGGCCATGAGTAATGTGTGTGATAGCAGAAATGATGTGGGTGAGGGGAGGATCTGTTTTTCATAACAATAAAGCCATCTGGTTACTCTGTCTTGTTTGAACTATCGTGGAACTTATTGTTCGTTCCAAAAAATTAAGACATAAATGGCATGGTCCTGGTTTTGGTGAGCTGTTTGTCTCTTAACCTCCTCTTCTTTGACTGTTGCCTTCTAAGTACTGTTTACTTGAGAAGCTCTGAAAACTACCTGGAAATTGTAATTCCTGACATAGGTGCACTTTCTTCAGTAAATGCCTGATTGTGATAAATCCATTAGGGAATGCATTATGTATGCTCATAGTATTGTTACTTGTAGTGTGAGCCCCACCAGCATATAGTTTCTATGGGCTCTTGATTCAAGTTAGCCTTGTTACTTCCTGTGAAGGATAAAAAAGAACTGAGAATAAGCAAGGAAAGCAAAGTTAATATTGCTAAAACCAAAAGTGAAAACACTGAGAGGAAAAGAAATGAGAGAAGTATTTGGGGCTAAAAATAATGGGAAGAGGAGGAAAAGTTGTGGAGAAAGTAAAGAAAGATTAAAAGGAAAAAGTGAGCATATGAAGAGGAGGTAAAGTGTGAGGAGAAACGATGACGAAGGGAATGTTGTGAGAACTGAATGGGATAGGAAGGTAGCGGAAGCAGCAGCAGAAAACCTAATAGAAAGCTGACTTATACTGAGTGAGATAACTGATCCATCTGACCTCGTACTGTATTGGAAACACTGGCAGTGGTTCTCAAGGGTTTCACTCACAATTTTTGCCTAGCCTCTCCTGGGGATCCTTCCCGGCTACTGATCTGAATGTGACCGGGGCCAGCCCAGTTTAGCTTTCAAAATCAGATGAGATCAGACACATCCAGTTTAATACATTGGAAGGAATAACTTCCAGAAAAAAACAAACATATCATGAAGAAGACTAAAATATTTTCAAATACTGTACTTGGAAAGTGGATTTTTCTCCTCTTATTCTATACAGGTGCTTTCAGTCTTTTGAATCCTGACCTATATTCTGGAATGATACAACCAAGATGTTTTTCCACCACAGTGAGAATTTGTCTGAATGCTAAACTGCTCATAGTAATTTGGGAGGTTTGTGCTAAAATTGTCTCACAGAACCTACGTAAAAAAACCGATGGGATTATTGAGAGCAGAGAAAGGAGAGAAGACCAGAATCCCTTCTACCTTCTCTTTTTGTCTGGCAGTTGCTGTGCCACATGTGGTTTCCCCCTGCATGAGGTCTGGAAACAAATACAAAAAAACCCAAAAAGGTTGCCAGAAACTGTTGTTGAAGCATACAGATTTTAGGACCTGAAGCTTGGTCAGAGGGACAATGTAGTACATGCCCCTCTTTCTGCTGTCCATTCGGTACCTCTGGTTCTCCTTTTCCTGCTTTGTAGCAGAACCTAAGTCTCTCAGTCTAGTTTCACTCTCACTTGTTTGCCTGAAATTAATCTTCCTGACAAGAATGTGCCTTGGGTTTTGTCCTTGTGACTGCTGATCTGTTATTAATAACAGTGCCAGACATGCTATAAAAATTCATTATGTCTTGAGAATTCAATCAAGACTGGCCACACTGTTACTGCTCAGCAGATACTGTTCTGAATGTACTCAGAGAAAAATCGGTGGTGGCTAATTTTTAATTTATCACATTATGCCCATCTAAGCCATTCAAAGCACTTATGACATCAGTGAGCGTAAGGTGAATTATAAATGCCCATAAATTGTGGGTCTGTGCAGTAACATCATTTTTATATTAATTAATAATTAAGCATGTATTGTGGTTATCTTTATATACTTATTGGCCTATATGTGGTGATTTCTATTTTGAAAGTAATGATAAGAAACATGACATCAGTGCTATACATTTTATTTCATGTGTGCTCATAAAGCTTTTTTGGTTTTTTGTGTGCTTTTTGATCCATGAACTCTGTTTTTCAAAATATGTATGCATGAACCTGAAGGCAACATTGATAGAAGTTTGGACATAGTTGTCTTCACTGAAAATTTGGAAAAACTCACAGGAAATATGGAAATATGGCTTAGTTTATGAGCTTTGTTTATAGTAAGGATGTATATTAAACATGTGAATAGGTGGCAAAACCTGTTTTATAAGCAATCACACACATTTATAGTCTGGAAGCTAGCTTGAAACTAGCTCTGCTTTTGTTATAATCAGGCTCAGAGCCTACCTAGTGTTTGAGAAAGTTTTTCTCTGTATGTCAGCTTCACAAGAATTTTTTTAAAAAAGAGAAGTATTGAATGAAACTCATTGTCATGTTGAAGAAAATTTGACAAAGGCATTCAAAGAAATTACTGAGTAGTTTCCGAACACTCAAAGGATACTAGCAGCTTTGAAAACATCATTCATTCATTCATTCATTCGTTTGTTTAGACTAGATTGAGTGATACGGGTAGATTTTGGTGGGAGGAGACATTCCGTCAGATAGTGAGGTCCTAAACTGTTGAGGGCTTTGTATTTATTTATTGCATTTATTCCCGCCTATCTAGTCGAATGATCACTCTAGGCGGCATTGTGAATGCAGAACAGTGGTTTTGTTTGATACACTAGGTACTAGACACAAAATATAGCATATCGAAAATAACAAGAGCATCTTAATTGAAGAAGTGATTTAAGCAGGTCTGTTTTTTAAAAAAAACAACTTCCCAGAAGTACACTGATACATGTACCTTTAAAACTGTGCAGCATGAAATGTGAGTAACAAGCCATGTTTTGAGAGGAAGATGTTAGGGCTCCTTTGTGACAAATCTCTAGATCTGTGTTTTGTCGGTGCTGGTGTGTTCCATTAGTTCCCAAATATGAAGCATTGTTTTGTTAAGAGAAGTTAGGATTTGAAGGCTGATTTGAGGTCTGGGACCCTTTTTGGGATACATGCCTTGCCAAGTTCCCCAGTCACATTTGTTTTATCAAGTTTTGATTAGTTTTCATGGGAAGATTAAGGAGGGGAATCATTATCAGAAGCAAATAACAGTTACAGTCCGCTATCTTGCATATCTTGATCAAGTTGCATTCTCAAGCATACAGTGGTGCCCCGCTTGACGACAATGACGCATTCCAGCAACATTGCTGTACAGCGAAATCGCCGTCAAGCGAAAAAAGCCCCATTGGAATGCATTGAAAACTGGTCAGTGCGTTCCAATGGGGGGAATACCTCATTGTCCAGCGAAGATCCTCCATAGGGCGGCCATTTTAGATCCCTGTCTTGCAAAGAATCAGTCCAGAAAACAGCGGGGAGCCATTTTGTGAACCACCGATCGGCTGTTTTTAATTGTCATCAAGTGAAAAACGGTTCCCGAAGCAGGGAACTATTCATCGTTAAACAAAAATCACCCATTGGAACCATTGTTTTGCGATCGCTATAGCGATCGCAAAAAAGGCATTGTAAAGCAATTTTGTCGTCAAGCGGGGTCATTGTCGAGCGGGGCACCACTGTACCTTTGTAGGAAGTAACATTAGGCGGGTCTATTTCACAGTTATTTAGTTTTAGGAGGCCAGATCCAGAGACATCTTCACAGACCAGTCCTTGACTCGGAGGTTTATTTTCTACTGAAGCACCTAATTCTCTTGTGTCTTTCTCACAGATCTCTTGCTCCTGTTTGGGTTTGCTGACCTTGAAATTATACTCTCAAGCGCATTAGTTGGTCAGCTGACTTTTTCTGAGATATTAAGCCACTGTTCTAAGGACATTAAGTGAAAAGTAAGTGCTAATTGGAATTCAATTAGAATAAAACAGCAGAAGAATTTTGGGGAGTTGTTTCACTTTACAGATAGTATTCACATTCTGACACCATAATAAATGATTATATGTTAGGGGCTATTTTGTTTTTCCAAAATAATAAAGATGTCTTGTGTGCAGAAGAAGATTGCTTTATGCCTTTTTCATATTCTAATAGTTACTGTGTTTCCCTGAAAATAAGACAAGGTCTTATATTAATTTTTGCTCAAAAATACATTAGGGCTTATTTTCAGAGGATGTTTTATTTTGTTTTCATGTACAACAATCTACATTTATTCAAATACAGCCATCTTCTTCTGGTTGCTGCACAATGCTGCACGATGGTTGAGAGTAGCGTTTCACTTAACTGGAGCTTATTTTTGGGGTAGGACTTATTTTGGGGAAAACAGGGTATGTGTATTTTCAAATCCTTAAATGTTGAGTTCTGCTTTTCTTTTTCATTATGCAGTTTCTTACCATGGCAAAATGTTTTCATAAGAGGCTCCTCACCTGTTCTGTTAAGTCATAGTCTCCCTTTTTTTAGAGGGAAGGGCGGTCACACCACTATCAAGTTGTTGATTAGTTAGTGCACACAGAGAGATTTGGGTATCAGAATGCAGGGCTTTGGTATGCCCAGGAGAATGTTGGCTTCATGTCAAATTCATGTTTTGATGTCTATACGCATGTTCAAAATTTCCTGTCGGTGTGAGCATTTTTTAAAAAACTACTTTTTAATACTTGCATGTACATTTTCATACATAAGCAAGATTTTTACAGTATGAATGGCACCCTTTGTGCCTTGCACAAATTAAGATGTAGAAACCAATTGATTTTTCTTATACTTTCTTATATTTCATTGTACTGGCATTCTACTTATATCAATTGCGTTAGATATAGACTTTTGTTATATAACAGTTTCGTACCAAATTTGGGAGCATTTAGGGGACTAGATGAGGCAAATCTAATTTCTTCCGTTTTCCTCATTCCATAAAGCCGAGAATGTCTCAGGAGCAAGACAAACCAGGTGAAGGAAAGTCAGACAAGTCCGAAGAGAACTTGGACAACACAGAGCAAACTGTGAGGAAGAAGATTCGACAGAATACGCCAAGTCCCAGCAGAGTCAACACTCTTGAGCGTAAATGAAACTATTAGTTCAAAGAAAATTCTTTCGTCACAAGTAGAATGCTATCCAGTATTTTCCTCTCCTTGTTCTGTACAGCTTGATTCAGCTCTCACTATAGATGAAAAATATCCTAAGGGGAAGAGTGTGACTATTTTTTTCTTTAGTAAAATTTATTAGTAAAAATAACTGTGTGCCATCAAGTCAATTCTGACTTGCAGCAACCTTTTTCAGCGTTTTCTAAGTAGAAGATACTCTATTTTCTCGTGTATAAAACGACACTTTTTCCTAAAATAATTAGGGGGAAAATTGAGAGTCGTTTTATACACTGAAGGAGGCAGAGGCAAAGGAGCAGTCACGCACTCTCGGGCGGCAGCAGCTTTGCCACCTCCAGTGCGACTGCCGGGGCTCACCTCCAGCACACGTCGCTGCCTTGTCCCCTCCAGTGGCGGAGACGGCAACAGCAGGAGGCCGAGGCAAAGGAGCACTCGGGCGCCTCTTGCTGCTGCTCATTAACTGCCTCCGCTGCATTGCTTCCTCCAGCGCTCCCTTCGGGCAGGGGACAAGACGGCAACGACATGAGCTGGAGGTGAGCCCCAGCAGTCGCAATGGAGGAGGTCATCAGGTGGCGGAGGCAGCAGGAGATGGAGGTGGAGGAGCAGTTGCCCATTAATTGCTCCTCCGCCTCTGGCAAGGGTCAAAATTAGGGGGTCGTCTTATATATTGGGGGGGTATACACAGAAAAATATGGTACTTGGAAGAAGTTTTTCATTCGCTTCTTCTGCAGGCACCCTGAGACCTTACAGTTTTCCCAGGGCCAGACAAGCTGATTCTGCTGGAATGAACTGAACTCCCAACTGCAGCTGGCTGGGTAGCTCAGTGGTTTAGGTATCTGGCATTGGAGCAAGAGTTTGGGAGTTTGATTCCCTGTTATGTCTTCATCGGGTAGAGCCAGCCCATGTGGCCTTGGGCAAGCTGCACAGTCCCAAGGTGCCCGTGGAAGAAGAGAATGGCAAACCACTTCTATGTATTCTCTATCTAGAAATCTCTGGAAAGGGTCCCTATAAGTCAGAATTCACTTGACAGTACGTAATTTTAATCAAAATGTATTATTTGAACTGACGTTTCTATCTCTTTTTTGTGACATTGCCCGTGTTCTAGAGAACGGTGAGGAAATGAGCCCTCAGAACTGGCATCCAGTGTTAAATGTATGTGTACCTGCTTTGGTTACATAAAGTAGTCCAAATGTTGGCCTTGAGTCCATGAATCTGGAATCAAGTACAGATTCCCCCCTTTCCTTTTCTTCCTGCAAAACCTGACCTTTCTTTATCATGAGTTATTGGTTGTTTGACAATGTTGTAATTCATGCAGCAGTAACAGCACACATTTGCAGGAAGAGGTTTACTTTTCATTTGTTCTCATTCACCCTCATTTCCAGTGTTCTTTTTTGAGGGAACTTTACTGCCACACCCTTGCTGCTTGTGTTTAGTTTGTCCTTCTGTGTTTTTTCTCTCAAAAAGCTGGACACAAAGTAGGATATTCATTCTTTTTTTTCCTTTGGCTTCATTTACTGCAGGGTTAGATTTCTTTGCAAAGAACAACCTGCTAAGAACCTGTTTCTGTATTCTGCTTCAAGCATAATAAGGGAATTCAAACCATTTGAGATGATCACATGGTTGGCCAATTTGAATTAGGCACTATCTGATCTATAATATGCACCATTTGATATCTGGCTTTTTTTTTTTTTTTTTTTTTTTGGAAAATGTGATTAAAATGTTGGCCCCAAACAGATGTTAGCTGCTTAGTACGTCCCCCCCCCCAAGTTCTAGTTCTATAGAATATGCATAGGACCTGATCCAGATCAGGAGTCTCATAGGGGACTTTAACCCTTCTGCCACCCTTGCTGTGGTCCCAGTTAGGATCAGGCCCACAGCACCTTCAATAAATACATATATACAGAGAGAGAAGTTGCTTTAACCAATAGTGATTAAATGCTTTAAGGTGTGATACCTGTTGCAATTACAGGCATACTGAACCTAGTCTGACTCTAAATTAGAACCAAAAAGAGACAGAACTGTTGAGCTAATGTCTGATTTGACTCTAGTGTGCTTTTTCTCACTGTCCATTTCTGTTTAGTGTCTGTAGAAATGTCTCTGATGACTGACTGTACATCATTCTTAATTCTTAGGAATAGAAAATGTAAAACACTTCAGGCTGTCCTGAGTGCAATGGGCTTGGACATGTTAATATATCTCTCCATATATATATAATGGATATGGCAGTTCTAAGGTTATTATTGTTATAAAGTGGTGTGTGTGTGTTCATTAGATGAGGGAAGTAGAACCTCCACCTGCCTTTGTTGTTTCATCTAAAGCATTTTCTTTCTCCTTGTGCAGATCCAAAGCTGGAAGAAACCATGCTAGGAAAATAGTAGCTGAATAAAGTCCATATGCCCTCCCACTTTTTCCATATACAATTTAGACTTTACCCACCCCTGCTTTATTCAGTAATGTGGAGACATGGGCAATGTGACTGCAACTTTCACATCTAGTGTGAGACCCACAGAAAGGCTTGCTTGATTGACAGATTGAGGAAATCTAAAGAGATCAGGTAGCCTATTAGATGTTCTGATAAATCCCACTGTAGAATCTCTGTGTGGTTTACGGTATCTTGGGAAAAAAGGGTAAAACATTCTGTGCATTAAAAATTTTTAAAATTTCTTCCTATTCCTAACAGTGTTACAGCTTGTCTCTAGGTGGTGCTCTGATTTTGAGAGAGTAAATAAATCACCTAAGCTTAGGCTGTTGTATTGAAGCAATTTTTCTCTACCTGACAGCCAGCCCCCCTCAGTTCGTGTCAGTGGAGGAACTGATGGAAACAGCGAAAGGTGTTACTAACATGGTATTAGCCCATGAAATTGTTGTCAATGGAGGCTTTCAGATCAAGCCAGCTGATTTGCCAGAGAACAGGTAAGAAGCCTAAAACAGGACCACGGTTTATCTCACCAAAAAGAGAGGCACACCTAGTGGGAAACTGACCATTCATAACATCATCCTACATGGGAATGAGGAATACAGAACATCATCTTAGGGTAGTCAAATGTTTATTCAGGTACAGTATAACATTCACATACAGTGGACCCTCTACTTAAGGAATTAATCCGTATTGGAATGATGGCTGCAAGTCGAAAAGTCTGTAAGTCGAATCTCCATTGACTTACAATGCACTGAAAACCGATTAATCCCATAACCAGTGGTTTTTATTCTATTTTTATTCCATTTTGGTTTTTTTCTGGTCTATAAGTCGATTCTCTGGCTGCAAGTCGGATCTAAATTTTGCAGCCAGAGAAGTCTGTTCCTCGAAAAGTCTGTAAGTCGAGCCGTCTGTAAGTCGAGGGTCCACTGTACTAATTGTGGAAGCAGGTCTCACCGATCAAACTATATATGTTACAGGGCTCAAAATGGACAGATTCTAGGAGGAAAAGTCCATTGCAGGTTACAAGCCATGATGGGGTTGTATAGTCTCCAAGCTTGAAAGGAAGGTACTGTACCTCCAAATGCCAGATGCCGGGGAGGGGTATCAGGAGTCAGGTCTCCAGTTGTCTCATGTGCTCCCAGAAGCGTCTGGTGGGGCCACTGTGAGAGACAGGACTAGATGGGCCCTTGGCCTGATCCAGCAGGGCTCTTACGTTCTTAAATGCACTGTCCTCCACTCACCTTATATAAATATGTGGAATCTTCATGAATCTTAAAAACCCCTCCCAGCTCTCTGAGGGTGCAGTCACCTCCAGGACACGGTCATGAGTCTGTGAAGATTAACCGTTGAAACTAGCCGCCTAGAGTGGTCTGGTAGTCCAGATACGCTGGGTATAAATCAAATAAATAAATAAATAAATAAATAAATAAATAAATAAATAAATAGATGAAATGTTACGTCTTTTGTCTAATTAGGAAAAGAGGTGCATTCCGATTGAATTATCACTGGTATTTCATTATAGATTTACAGTAACTAGTACATTTCCGTCATGCACAGGCTAGTTGTACAACTTAGTTCTACACTGTTTGTACTGAAAGTTCTCAAAAGCTGAGTAGGTTCTAATAAATAAATAAATAAATAAATAGATGAAATGTTACGTCTTTTGTCTAATTAGGAAAAGAGGTGCATTCCGATTGAATTATCACTGGTATTTCATTATAGATTTACAGTAACTAGTACATTTCCGTCATGCACAGGCTAGTTGTACAACTTAGTTCTACACTGTTTGTACTGAAAGTTCTCAAAAGCTGAGTAGGTTCTAATCTTGGGCACCTTGTGGGCCAATCTCTGCTGTCACAAACTTGTCAAAATAAGATCTCACAGTTTCATTTGGTACCGCTAGTAAATTTTGCCTTTCTGCTTGGCAATGGATTCTCCCTTGCTAGTTCCTTCTGAATTACGATAACACCTTGGACCCGACAACTGTGTCCTTTTCTTCCAAGAGATACCCTTTCCTGAATGCTGTGTTGTCAGCCACTTCATGTTCTTATTAACTGCTAGTCAGTGCTAGTCACATGTTGCTGCGGCTGCTGTTGCTGTTACTGTTAATTCTTCTAAGCCCCATTTGCTCATTATATTTACAGTAACAATTCTGTTTCCTTCTCCTGTTATGTTGCATGCCAGCCTTGAAAAAAGAGTAAGAGATATTGTCCACAAAGCTTTTTGGGATTGCCTGGAAAGCCAGTTAAAAGAAGAACCACCATCATATGATCATGCTATTAAACTTGTGGGAGAGATAAAAGAGGTAAGAAAGGGTAACATCATACACTATTTGGGAATCTGATATGAGATGATATTTGTCTAGCCATTGTGGTACAGCCCACTGGATTAGACAGCCCACTGGTCAGACCCATTTTCTTGACTGGTGGTCTGTTTAATTAGCACTTTGTCTCTAGCAATGACGTGTTATTTATTATTTATTCGTAGCCCCACTCTTCTCTAAAGGGCACAGTTGTATTTGCTTGTTGCAAATGAAAATTTATGTTGGTTTTCATATCCTGATTGAGCAGGGACTTTCCTTCTCTTTGCAGTAACACAGTGTTGAAATGTACACATTGTACTTCTAAGGTGTCATATGGTGCAATCCTGGGCATTGCTTCATCACTGTCGAATAGTATGAGGAGAGGACGTTTTTCAGAGAAGGTGTAAGGGCCAGGTGCTTCACCTTTCCCTCTCCCACAGTTTTTCCCCATAGACTTCCCTCCAACCCACCACCTGGTTCCAGAGCCATACTTGTGATATAAGTCCAAGCTTGGAATCCTTGGAAGAAGGATTACCGCTAAACACCCCCAATTTCTTTACAGATCCCGCCCTCCTGAGTCCAGTTTGTAGGGAAGGCTCACATTTTTCAGGACATATGGTGGGGCCAGAATGTGCAGTTCCACTGTTAGATTTAATAGTCCTTAGACATGTATAAACAAGCCTCTTTCCTGCATAAGTGTTTGCTCTCTGGAAGCTTGAATAATTTCTGTATTGTAGAAAATAAATGAAAACTTTTATTAAAATCAAATTTTATATATTTCATATCTTTGAAATTATTGCTTTTATGTGCCCTCGTTATGTCTGACTTATGGCTCCAGATAACAATATAGTTCTGTTAGGAGGTACTAATAGAAGGAACATTGCTTTCTTTCAGACACTCTTGTCTTTTTTGCTGCCTGGCCATACTAGATTAAGGAACCAGATTACTGAAGTGCTAGATTTAGAGCTGATCAAGCAGGAGGCTGAGAATGGTGCGCTTGACATTTCTAAGCTAGCAGAATTCATCATTGGGATGATGGGGACCCTGTGTGCTCCAGCCAGAGATGAAGAGATTAAGAAACTGAAAGACATTCATGAAATTGTTCCCCTGTTCAGGTACCAGAATGAAATCATTATTTCCTGTGGACATGGACTTTTTCAGTCCAGGATTGGCAGAATATTTTAATTTTTAAATAGAGACCAGTTAGTTGTACAGGCAGCACTGAAAAATGCTTTTGAAATAGTTTTTATAGTGCAGATGATATTGCTGGAAATAAGATTAATTGGGAAAATTATTTCTTATTATTGACCAAGGATATGTCTAGTGAAATTGTTATGATTTTTTAAAACATATTTTATTTTATTTTATTTATTTAATTTTTTACCCCACCTGCTTGGCTTACAAACTTTTTTTATGCTTTAAAGCAGTGGTTCTTAACCTTTGTTACTCGGATGCTTTTGAACTGCAACTCCCAGAAACCCCAGTCAGGACAGCTGGTGGTGAAGGCTTCTGGGAGTTGCAGTCCAAAAATCCTGAGTAACCCAAGGTTAAGAACCAGTGCTTTAAAGCAGTGGCTGAAATCCTGTTGCTTAGAGTAGGCCCACTGAATCAATGGTTATTTAGTGGGTCAACTCCCCCATAAGTTCCATTAATTCAAATGGGCCTTCTATCGTTGCAATTTACTATGTTAAAGTACGGTAAGCTGCAAATAGAATAGGCCCATCTGAATTATTGGTACTTACAGAGAAGTTGACTCACCAAATCTCCATTGATTCAATGGGCTTTTCTCTAATGTGACTTACTTCACACGGGTAACAGAATGAAATCGTTATTTCCTGTGGACATGGACTTTCTCAGTCTAAGCTTGGCAAAATGTGCACGTGGGACTTTCTGATCAACAATGGTTTAAAAAGGATACATTTTGCCATGTTTTGAGGGGGAACCACCCCAAAATCTTCTTTTAAATTATTTTTAATGGCTGCTAGAAGACACAGTGGGGCCTTTTCCGTGAAAAGCAACATTGCTATGAGAATGTGGGGAGCAATGGCTGTGACTCCCCAGGGTTCAGGGTTAAGCATTTGTGGCTGTCGGATCTCTGGGGACCACCTAGCATGATCAGACATATATTTTATATTGCTAATTATTACAACTTATGAAGTGCCATTGTGGGCAAATGAATACATTATTGAGATACTAGGAAACACATTCTGATATACTGCAGATATTCCAATATGCATACGCAGACTTGAAATACATAGTTTCTTGTTCCTTACAGGGCAATATTCTGTGTTTTGGACCTGATGAAAATGGATATGGCCAACTTCGCTGTCAGTAGCATCAGGCCGCATTTAATGCAGCAATCAGTTGAATACGAAAGGAAGAAGTTTCAGGAGCTGTATGAGAAACAACCAAGTATGACTTTCTGTTTTTTCTTCTTTTCTATTTACTAAATTGTCAGTTGTTAAAATGCACTCAAGTAGAGGTAATTTTGTTTAATATTCAGCTCTTAATATGAGAATCTGCTGGATGCCACTTATGAATTTTCCTCTATAAGGAAACTTGCCTGTGCCCTGTGAAAAAGAGTTATCTTCTCTTATTCTAGTTTTTTTAATTACCTTTCTTATTTTTTAAAAAATATGCTGTTTTTATTGGGTCTTTTTTCATTTGTTCTGTTTCAGTGTTTGCATTTTGGCCTTATGTAGTTATACCGCTGAACACCCTGGAATCCACGTCAGAGAAGGGCAGGGTGTGAATCTGCTTTAAATGAATAAGTAGTCAGAGAAATAGGTTAGTGAGGAAACAAATTGAGAAGTCTTTATCTTTCTCCCTTCTTCTTTTCTGGAAAACAGATTCATTAGATTTTGTTACTGAATGGCTGCAGGACGCTGCTGAAGGCTTGAGATCCAAAGCTGCCCTTGCTGTTGATGATGGGGCCACATCCAGCAATAGAGCTCCTGTGCTCTGCCCTGTTACTGTGCAGAATCATGCATACCTTGAGCTGCTCAAGTGGGACCACCTACGAAAGCCTTTTCCAGAGGTAACGGATTGCTTCTCTCTTCTTATTGTAGTCTCTATGATAATATCTGTGTAGATTCAGAGAACTAGTCATGGAGACTAGTGCCTGATATGTAATTTCAGCCTTGATTTTCATTACTTGCCTGGTTGCCATAGGTGGACTTGAAAGTTATTCTAGATCAGGGAGCAGTCTGCTGGAGAAGAGGTGACGTTGCCATGTTCCTCTAGTGACCCATTGGCTTTCTATGCTAACCATGGAGGAGAGAGTTTTGGCTCTTTTCTTGTCTAGCATGGAAGTCAAGTGGGCTGCTGGAGGGCTATGGAGTGCTTTCACCCCCTTTGCAGTGGTCCCGTGTGTTCTCATGCGGACTGTTTGGGAAGGTCAAGCCCCTCCTGTACATCTGCTGCAAAAACGCAGGGGCAGGAGGAAAGATGCCCTTCTTCCCTCTGCTGCCGTCTTGCCCTTTCTTGTCCTGGAGAAGAAGCAGGAAATATCCAGTGTGTTAGGCATTCAAACAGAGTTGGTCAGCAGTGAAAGAACAGAGCAGTTGATAGCCACTAGTCTGCTGTATTTCTAGGTGGACATTCAGAAGAAATTGCTCCACTCTCCCTAACCCCATGTATTCAGTTAAGTAGCAAGATGTCAGGTCAGGGAGGTGAATCTTGCTGTGTCCTTCCACTACCAGCCCTCTGCATTTCCATGCTGAAAGCAGAGGAAGCAGGGCCTCATCTGGTATGTATGTCAACCCTCCTGGTAGAGCAGGTGGGATGGTCTGTTTCTCCACCAGGTGCCTGCTGCATTTTCTAGCATGCATATTTTTTCAGCCGGTTTGGTTTTTGCTCCTAAGGGGAACTGGCAAAAGAAGGACAGAGGGCCCTTCTAGTTTCCTGCCACCTCCACTCACTAGTGAAAATGCAGGCTGCTAATAGAAGAGAAAAGAATAATAGTTCAGACTAGTCATGTTTGTAGGCTAACTCACAGAGGTGGTTTTGATATTTGAATAATTAAAGCATTGCGATTTATATCTCAGTTTGCTAAAACATCACTGAAAACTACTGCACTGAAATGACCTTAATAAAGGTCTATCTTTGGAGAGGGTTGGGCTTAAAGCTATGAAGATTTGGGCTCAAATTCTTATTCAGATGCTCATTCACTGAGCATCATTCTGCAGGACCTATCCCTAATTGTAGGGATAAAGCTGGATGAGAAATGTCATGTATGACTCTGTGGAAGACTTATTAATATCCTACTTGATTTGTGAGACAAGGAAAGGTCCTGCATTTTTGAATCAGTCTTTAGCCTTGATGAAATGAGCCTTGAGGTCTTATTTTATTATATTTTATTTTATTTATATGCCACCTTTCTCGCTGTAGGGGACCCAAGAGAGCTCATGACAAACAAAAACTATACAATGATCACAGTTTTAAAAATGCCAGTAAAAACAATCAAGCATTTGAAGCAGCTTAAACACATTTAAGAATCTCTATATTTAATAAACAGCATTCCTGACAATCCAACTTACTGCCTAAAAAGCCTGCGAGAAAAGAAAGGTCTTTTTCCTGGTGATGGAAGGACAAGAGAGAGAGAACCAACCTGGCTACTCAGCGCAGGGCATTCCAGAGCCTTGGAGTGACCACCGAGCAGACTGTTCCTCATGTTCTCATCAGAGAAGGGAGTGGGAAGGGAGTGGAACCGAAAGAAGGGCCTCCCCAGAAAAACTTAAAAACCAAGAAGGCTCATATGAAGTAATATGACCCTTCAGATAGCCTAGACCCAAGCCATATAGGCTTTATAGGTGGTAATCAGAACTTTGAATTGGGCCCAGAAACAGTCTGCTGTTGCAGTGAGGGAGGTATATGCTTCCTGTAACTACAGTGGTGCCCTGCTAGACGATGAACCCGCATGACGAGGTTTTGCGATCGCTATAGCGATTCGCAAAACAATGTTTCCAATGGGCGATTTTTGCTGGGCTATGTTTGGGTCCATGCCTCGCAAACCGTTTCTCGCAAGACGACGATTTTGGCACTGATCGACGCTTCTCAAAATGGCTTCCGTATGGGCGATTTTCACAAAACGACGACTGTTTTCCCCATTGGAACACATTAAACAGGTTTCAGTGCATTCCACAGTTTTCGCAAGATGATGTTTTCACAAGACAGTGATTTCTGTGGAACGGATTATCATCGTCATGTGGGGCACCACTGTAGTGCTAATCAGCAGACTGGCTGCAGCATTTTGAACCAGCTGAAGTTTCTGAATACTCTCCAAAGGAAGCCCCACATAGAGCTTATTGCAGTAATCCAGATGAGATGTGGATGTAAAGCATGTGTCACCATGGCCAGATAAGACATCTCAAGGAATGGGCACAGCTGGCACACTGTTTTTAACTGTGAAAAGGCATTCCTGTCCTTAGTTCATGAACACTGAATACCCTCTGTGCATCCTAGAGCACCATGATTATGTGGAGCATGTCTGAACTGGCATCTAGCAGATTGTCATAGGTGGAGCATATCTGAATTTTCCATCCCAGATGGTTTCCATCCCAGATGGATAGCTTTCTGTGCAGTCATTTCAATAGAGTGTCTGTAATTCTCTCACTGTCAGTATCCATTCCCTAACTTGTCATGTCCTTCATTCTCTTCTCTCAGAGCTCTTTTATATCTTGAATAAGAACTATAAAAACGGTGTTTACCAGTGATGAGGAAAAGCACAAAAGCTAGACGATGACAATCTGTTCCACTGAAGTCGCTGTTTAGCGAAATCATTGTCTAGTGAAAAGCATTTCCCCATTGGAATGCATTGAAACCTGTTTAATGCGTTCCAATGGGGAAGAATCGTCGTTGTCTAGTGAAAATTGGCCATAGGAAAGCCGCTTTGCGAACCGCCAATCAGCTGTTTAAACCGCTGCCTTGCAAAGCTTAGGTCCCAAAAACACCTGTTTTGCGAGTGCGGAGGAAGCTGTCGAAATCGTTGTCTAGCGAAAATCGGTTTGCGAAGCAGGGACCAGCGAAATTTCCCCATAGGAATCACTGTTTTGCAAATCGTTACAGCGATCGCAAAAAGTCAATGTCTAGCGAAAAAACTGTTATGCGGGGGTAACTGTCTAACGAGGCACCACTGTATATGAGCATGTAGGTGGATTTCACTAGATGGGATTCTGGCAAGGAAGTGGGCATTAGATCCCTGGTTGCCATTTCTAGTAACAGCTGCATGCAATCCAACATCAAGTTCCACTTTCTAGATAACACCTTCTTTGGATTCTGGTGACTTCCGTACATCTTCAAAGAATTATACTAAAGGCTGAAGAAACTTCATCTCACATATTTTTTAGAAAGGTCAAGGGCAGAGCTTTGGAAGTTATGCATTAAAAGGAAGAAATTACCTGTAAAACATACTGCAGTAACTGGTCGTGTCATTTCTTCAGTGTAATGAGAATCATTTATTCATGATTTCTGAAACAGTATTCTTTGAAGAGAAAATTTGGCTATTGTACTATTTTTCAGTTTTTTTAAAAATATGAATAATAATATGAAAATTCAACTAAAAACAATATGTTCGAAATAGAGAGTAGCAGTTAACACATCACAATGACAAAAAAAGCAACCAAACATAAAGGTAGTGAGTTTTCCTAGGGGAAAAAATATTCCAGATTCTGTGTCAAGGAGATTATGGGTCTGAAGTTTTCACTTCTATCTTTCTAGACCAATAAATCTGTAAACAGGGAAAGAAAGGTACTTCTGTCCGTGAATACAGTACTTCTCATAGTTCTGTAGAGCAACATAAACCGAACTGCATGACCTGATATAGTCATGAAGGCCGAAACTTTGGTTTTGTTGTTGTGTAGTCACACTTGCTGGAATTTAAGCCATCCTGATATGGCAACTTCATGATGTTTCATCCCAAAACAAGCCTTGTAATTTAGTGCATCTTTCCCACCCACTTCTACCATAGGAGATTTATATTTTGCACTGTGAAAGGAATGGCCTTTCATTGTCTGAAGGTATAACATGTGTAGTAGAGTCTCCAGTTTATTATGGGTACAGAGGCTTGTTTCTTAAAAATATTTTTAAATCATTTGTGGCTAAAATGTATGTACAAATAACATCTATACAGAAGTCATATTCAGGCCGTATAGCTTGAAGGCAGGGAAGGTCATCACCATAGTGAGGATGAACCCTTGTCAGTCAGGCCATCATCGTTTGCACACAGAGATCTGAAGGGCATACTGTAAATGGCCTCATCTGAACGGGTGTACCAGCTGGTTTTTAGGACTGTGTGGTAAACATGTGAAAGTCTGATTTGGGGAAAACGTTGGGGTTGCGCTTATGTCTGCTTTCCTATCCATGTTTACAGTTTACAGCCCTCACAGCTTTCAGGCTAGAATGCCTGAATAGCCTAGAATGTATTTGTTTCTGCAAAATTATTTGTGAATTGTGTATGAATGTATTTATAGAACTCATTGCAGGTATCATATTTTATAACGATGGCCTGTCAAATGGATGTAGAAACAAGAACAAGAGAAAATTCAAAGTTGTAGACATCTGTAAACATGCAAATTTGACATGCTGCTCCGTAACACATACAGGATAATTACGTTCTTGGTTAAAGGCAGCATTGAATACTAAGGGTTTCAGTGCTCACCAAGATGCCTAAACAGATGGGCAGAAGGACACATCAGTGAGATAGGACCCCCATAGCATCAGGGCCAATAAGCAGGCCCTGTGTCTTATTCACATCTCCCTAACCAAGTCTTGAGAAGGACCTCTGAAGCAGATTTTAGTGCAGAGCAGTCCTTCAGATAACCTGCTTTCAAGCCATTTATGGGTTTGAAATGTACAACTAGCATTTATACGAGTTGCATCCACCCCTGGAATTCCTGCAGATTAATTATGTTTGGGTGGTTCACCGGTTGTTTGGATTGCTAGAATACCTTGGCACATGAGAAACGTTGTGATTTATGAATAGGGAATTGCAACCCGTATCAATGTCCTTCAGATATATAAAAGTAAAAACAAATAGCTGGTTAAAACCTGGAACATCTGGTTCACTCAGTGATCTGATTTCAGTGTAGATTTACAACCTTTACCTTGGTGCTGGAATGAAACTGGATCAATGTTCTTTTATAATCTTGCGAATATAATCCTCTTTTATAATCCTGCCCAAGTGTGATTTGCATGAAGAATAGCTGCTCTGGAAGATTTTTGTATTTGTTTCCCTGCTATTGATGCAGAATTTACCTTATTTTACCTTGTATATGGCTCCCCCAATGTATAAAATGACCCCCTAATTTGGACCCTTGATGGAAGCATTCCCTCCTCCAGTGCGAGTGCCGGCTGCCTCCAGCTCACGTCGCGGGCTTGTCCCCTGCCCTAAGGAGGTCGTGGGAGGAGGTGATCCACTGGCGGCAGCAGGAAGAGGCGCCTGAGCGCACGCGAATGCTTGTTTGCCTCTGCCTCCTCCTGCCTCCACCACCGGAGGGGACAAGGCGGTAACGTGAGCTGAGCCCGTCAGTCCCACTGGAGGTGGTGATCGGGCAGGCAGGGAAGGCAGCAGCAAGAGGCGCCCGAGCGCGTGTGGCTGCTCCTCCGCCTCCGCCTCCTGCTGCCTGGGGGCCACCAGAGGGGACAAGCCGTGAGCTCTGGAAGAGGCAATTGGACAGCAACGGTGGCAGGAAGAGGCGCCCAAGCGCGCGCACGGGGGACTGCTTCCTTCCGTGTATAAAACGACACTCAATTTTTCCTCTTAATTATTTTAGGAAAAAGTGTCATTTTATACAGTACATGGAAAAATACGGTATGTCCGTATGTTCAGTTTATGTTTATCTCACTCCTCTTTATCCTGGAAGGGAATTCACACCTGCTAGAGGCTATTAAATTGCATCCAGTTATGAAGCAAATAGCACTGGCTCAGTGGTGAGATCTATTGTGACAGTGTTGTAAAAAAACAGGTTTCTTACTGGATTCCGCAAGAGAGGGACATCTTGAAACACTTTGTCCGTCTTCACACTTTACCAGACTTGATTACTTTGTTGTCCCTAAAGATTTAGATTTTCAGAGTAAAAATAATTGTGGTTGTTGTAGAAGAGGTAGCCATGTTAGTTTGTGCAAGCATTATGGGCAAAAACAAAATTAAAGAATTAAAATAAAAGAACATTATTTAATTTAATTTTTTTTTACCTATAATAATTGTGGTGAGTTTATTAAAATCTGCTTGAGAGGAATTCAGGTCGTTTTTCAGGCATTAAAATGCAACCATACAGATGTGGATTGGAATAGACTGTTCACTAGGATGCTCCATGTTGCAAGCTGACTTGTGAACTGTTTCAGAAATATCTATGGCCAAAATCCCATTAGTTACATCCAGTGATGCATTGCATTGCATTGCATTTCAAGTGTCATTAATTTCAGTAGCAAATTGCCACAAATTAAAAGGTTAATATCTATGGCCAAAATCCCATTAGTTACACCGAGTGATTCATTTCAAGTGTCATAAATTTCAGTAACAAATTGCTACAAATTAAAAGGTTACTAGAGGTACAGTGGTGCCTCGCTTAACGACGATAATTCGTTCCAGGAAAATCGCCGTTAAGTGAAAACATTGTAAAACGAAAATAAAAACCCAATTGAAACGCATTGAAGCCCATTCAGTGTGTTCCAATGGAGTAAAAACTCACCATCCAGCGAAGATCCTCCATACGGCGGCCATTTTCGCTGCCTGTATAGCGAGGAATCTGTCCCTAAACACAGCAGGGTGCCATTTTAATCACCCAACTGCCATTTTGAAACCGCCGATCAGCTGTTCAAAAAACGTTGTTTTGCGAAGAATCGGTTCCCGAAGCATGGAACCGATCATTGCAAAGTGAAATTCCCCCATTCAGACCATCGTTTTGCGATCGCAATTGTCGTTAAGCAGATTGTCATTAAGCAGATTCGTCGTAATGTGGGGCAATTGTAAAGCGAGGTACCACTGTATTTGCTGTTCCCCACAAATCATAAAAATGTGGTGTGCAACAGCTAACCTCTCACCTTGTAGCAACTTGCTGATGCTAGTGAAAAAAATGTAGTAAGATTTTGGCTCGCACAGTTGTTTATTGCGAGGTATAAGAAGTGGACACAGCAGATGCTCTGACAGCATTCATTTTTGCTCCGTCTTGAATATATTAAAGATTCTTGACCATGCTGAGCTGAAAATAGTAGTCCAATCTATTAACGTGTGCGCTGATGTATATTTTCCCTTCATTACAACAGTGCTGTGGAACAAAGCTTTGCAATGGTACAGATAAAAGAGCTTGAGTCCCACAAAGAGCTTTTCTATAGGAACAATTGTTGGCAGCAATTTTAAGCATCCATGTTGTGATTTTTGTATGTGCGTATTTGTCTTTTGTTAAGAATTTGTTTTGGGTTGTTTCCAGAAGAGTATATAAAATAGATTAAAGATAGCTTGCAATGGTCATATGGTTTTGAAATCACCGCAGTACGGAATACGTCTTTTTGCATGGCACTGAGTGCTGCTACTCTTTAATTCTAATTCTTGCTGTTCATTCTGTGTTCTGAGTTAACACACACACACACCCTTTATTTCTGCAGACTGTACTAATGGACCAAAGCCGCTTCCAGGAAATGCAGTTGGAACTGGACCAACTTATTTTAACCGGCGCTGTTCTTCTGGTAACGTTCAATGCTGCAGGCACAGCTCTTTCAGGTTTGCCAGGCTTTCCCGACAAGCTCAAAATGGTTATCCGGGTACTGTTAACTGGGCTACACCTTCCGTGAGTAGCACACGGCTTTTGGCTCCTTTATGGTATGATGCAGAAGGTTATGGATGTGAGTGCTGCTCATTGTTCAGAGCTGTTTTGAGAGGACCACTGTGTTCCTTGCCTGCTCTAGTTGAAAAGGGCTCTAAAAAGCTATGGGCAACACTGTTCTCCATTAAGAGCCTGTTAGCCACCTGTAATCTGGAGGCAATTGACACATTCAGAATAAACAGTTGGCACAATCCTCTTTGGACTGTTGCATTTCAGAATAACAGGAACAAGGGGAATCTGTGGATATGACAGGGATCAATGCTCACTAGGAATGCAAAGAATATTTGCTAAATTCTCCATTCTTTTCAGTTAGTCTGTCTTGACTGATGTCAATGAGGAATGTTCAAGCACTACAAGATGCTTCACCTCCAGTTGGCACCAAGATGAGGAATACTATTTTCTCTTGTCCAGAGCCTTTTCCAGGTGTTACTAAATAGGGTGCATTTACCAAAGGTAGAAGGAAACAGTCTTGCCCCAGTCTTTTGTTTCTGGTCTTTCCTCTTCACTACATATGGAAAATAACAGATGTGGAGAGTGTAGCCTCTGCTATCTTTGAGGCCTTTCCATGTGCAGTTGGAACCCAGGAAAATCAGCATCCTGCCTTCCATTGAGAGTCCACATTGTTAGTGGAGTCTCTTTTCTTCAGACTCTTTGATCTCCATGTATAGGAGAGTTACAAAATTGGGAATGGGTGTGGCCAGGCCTAGAGGGCTCCCCTCTACCAGTAGTATATATATTAGACATGGGACTTTCATCTTTGTCTCCCAGTTGAGACAAATACAAAGCTCCCTGGCATAGGTGACCAACCTGATTGGACCCTCCCCTACCTGTACTGGGCATCCACTTCCCATGTGAAGTCAGAGTCATCGAAAGCACGCCAGTGATGGCAATAGCCTGACTGGCACTGTCCTGTCTCCCTGCTTGCGTTGCCACTCAGCAGCTGAGTGAGGAGGCTTGTCATCCTGCTTCTTCGCCAGAATGGCCAGCCGAGCAGGGAGGCAGGGCAATGCCAGCTGGGCTACTGACACAGTTGGTGTGCTTTCAATGATGTTGGCTGTGTGCATCTCACGGCAAGTAGTAAATGGATGCCTGGTTCCCAGGAGTAGGGTGTCCAGTTGGGCTGGCCACCTGTGCAGCAAGCTTCATAGTCATTTCCCGAAGGACAATCTTTCCGTGGTCACATGGCCAGTGTGATTTAGACACGGAACGCTGTTTACCTTCCCACCGAGGTGGTCCCTATTTATCTACTCGCATTTGCATGCTTTCGAACCGCTAGGTTGGCGGGAGCTGGGACAAGCGACGGGTGCTCATTCCGTTGCGTGGATTCGATCTTACGACTGCCGGATCTTCTGACCCTGCAGCACAGGCTTCTGCGGTTTAGCCCACAGCGCCACCACGTCAATCTCATATACGACCATAATCTGCTCCGAAATGCACTGGAACGTGATTAATCCGTTCCAGAAGAAAAAAAATAACACCCCCCAATAAAATAAAAATAAAATACTGCAAGCCCCATAAGAATGTGCTGGTGCTTAAAAAACAACAACCCTAAAAATAAACGGAGCAAGCCCTGAAGACATTGGGGCTTTTTTAAAAACTCAAAAACGAACCACCCAGGAAGCCCCGAAGGCGCTGGGGCTTAAAAACCAAACCAAACCAAACCAAAAATAAACAATGGAGCAAGCCCCACGCTGGGGCTGCCAAAAAATCACCATAAAAACAAAATAACACAGCACAGAAACATAACCCCCGCAGCTCAAACCCACCCTGCAATACCCACCCAGAACTTACTCTAACCGTTGGGGCGAAAGAGCTACAAAGAAGCAGACTCTTTGCCTACCAACGGTTAGGAATTTGAATTTCCCACACTTTCTCCCTGCCTTTTTTGGATCGTAACTGGAAGCTCCGGATGCAAGTCGAAGCAAAATTTTGCGGCCGGAGCTGGTTGTAACTCGAAATGGTTGTAAGTCAGGACATTCGTAAGTCGAGGCACCACTGTATATCTCAAGTCAATCCCAGATTGTTTTGCAGCTACTAGACTGTATGGAAATGCTTACCATCCCTAAGGAACTGTTTTTTTCTTTCTTTCTCCAGTTCCTTCAACCTGAGTGAAGCTTTGGCTGTCATAAGTGAAAAGGTTTCTGCTGAAGTTAATACATGCCTTTCCCAACACGGATTCACACCTTTCACACCTGAGAAGGAGGCTGCATTTAAAGGACAGATCCAGGCCCTGGGCAATCCTGATAACACAGTGTGCAGACTGATAGGTAAGCTTATTTGGGGGAAATGTCTAAGGGGATAGACAGGAAGCTGTTCTTTCCCTACTTATTGTGTGAAAGCTGAAGGTCAAACATACATTTGAGAACACAGTGTTAATTACGGTTGTAAAATGGGAGAATAGAAAAGCTTCAAACTAGTGTATTTATAGTCCTTTTGAGAGGATTATGGTTTATGATTTTGTAAAAATATATTACTACTACTACTACCACCACCACCACCACCACCATAACAAGCTGTTTTGTCATGATGGAAATGGAGGTCAGATACTGGAGAGGAAGAAGAGGTGTTGAGGGAGATGAAGGATTATTTTCCCCCAGAAATTGATAGGTGGTGTGGCACCTCTAGACTCCCTCAGCTGGGTTGCCATGTTTCACTAGTACACAGGGACTTCTGAGATTAGCTCCTGCCCTTACATGCTGTGACCCCCAGTATACTCCTTCACACTGTTCTCTCCACGGACTCAGGACACCTGGGTTCCTTCTTCACCCTGTCCTTCACTCTTAGGACAAACTGTACATAAGCCTGTTGTTAAAACTCAGACCTTTGGTAATGTTGCCACCACCAGTTCCTGAACCAGAGAGCCTTTAAAACATGTATTTTTCTTCCCTTCTTGCACCCTCATTTGAGCTATGAGCAAGACGTCAATGTGGATGTTTGTGACAAGAAAATAAAGAGATGTTGGGTGCATTAAAATGTTCTTATTTTTATAAAATATAGGGGGTTAGAATGACAATGAAAACAAAATATCTTTCATAAAGCCTGATTTCTCAGTCCAAATGCAAACCTAACTCTCTCTCCCTTCATATATCAGTGATCACATTCTCTCTCATTCTGTGTCTCAACTCTCATCTGTCCAATTCATCTCATTCCATCTTTATCTCTAATCTGTTACCTGACTTGTACAGAAATTCACCCAGTCGTATGTACACTTTGTTCCTTTCTCCTTGGCCTGGGGGAAGATAAATGATTAACTTCTGTGGAGGCCATTTTTTTGCTCCCATTCCCAGTGGCCAAAATATTCTTGCCTACCATTCATCTAGCACTTGAACTTGTCACTCAGCCCACTTGTTCCTTCATGGGAATAGCCAACTTACTGATACACATGGCACCTATAAAGAGGTGGGGAAGATTTGGAGTGAAGAGTAAAGAAACTGAGTTGTTTGCATATGGTCAAGATATTACTGTTGAATTTAATGTACAAGTGTTTTCTCTTAAGAGGATGTGAGGATCTTTTAATAAGTCTTACTGAGTTATTTACTTCTCTTCTCAAGATTCACGAATCCAGTCATTTTTGGAAAGTTACCTTGCTTCCGGTCATCAGAAATCCCTTCCGGGTATTCCTGGAGGATTAGGCCCTATTCAAAAAGAACTGGAGGAAATTGCTGTCAAGTACGTACGACTTGTTGACTACAACAAGATGGTCTTCAGTCCTTACTATGATGCAATTCTGAGCAGAATACTGAATAAAGAAGAATCACCTCAGCTGTGAAGAAAGCTGGAAACACTGGACTCATTTGTACACTGTCCCAAAGCTGTAGAGCTTCAGTACAAAGTACAGTAGCAGCAGCTTGCATACCCACTATTACACTTGTGTTCCTCTCAAAATTATCAGGGTTGCAAGGCAGAAGCCTCCTTCAAACTCCTGTTATACTTTGAGGCCCCCACATTAAGACTTGTCATCCAATGTTCCCTCCATATCCCTCTTTGGGCCAAAAAAAAGCCACCACTCGCTGTAGGCCATCATTTTTCAGAAACATCTGAGTGAATTGTGATGCACTGTGTGTTAATTTAGACTGTGTGCAGGGAGAGGCTGAAGAGAACATGGAAAGAGTGGTGTTGAGATGCCCCTTTGCACCCTGAGCTTTTCAGTATACAGGGCTTATGTTTATTTATTTATTTATTTATTTAGAAGCATCCGACAGTTTGCTGTTGGGAGGGTGCTGAGATTGTGCAGTCCATCTATCCTGTTTCTTTTGGACAGCTGCTTAGGGGGACAGAGGTGAATTATGGGAAAAGTTTTCTCCTTCTTTGTGCAGTAGTCTGTTTTAATCTGCCACCACAGATCCATCTGTGGAAGCCTGCTTCTGTGCATGGACGACTGTTGTTGAATCAAACTGGTTATAACTTCATTGTAGAAACCTTGTAATACATGTATTTGGAAAAAGCTTTCCTGCAGAAAACGTCACTAATTTGATAGCAGTGATTGAGTGCAGAGCAGATACATCAAGTGATGCTCAAGGTACATGAAAACACACCAGCTTAGTATTTAGTGGAAAGCAAAAGCTATTGGTGTATTGCTGTTAGAGTACAGCCGCTGATAAAACAGAAACGAGAGCTGTTGGAACCATTCTTTTAGTATGTACTTTGATGCAAAAGAAATTAGACAACTTCTCTTTCAATGCTACCTTATACAGTCCTTAAACCTTGCTACCCTAACAACGGTAACAATAATTTAAATTTCCATATACAGTATTTAAAATTTGGATACTGATAGTTGATGCACTTTATATGTAGTCTGCAAGCCAAGGCGGTTAGTCTTTCTGCCAGCCATGGTTTTTTCTATAGTCTGTTTCCCTACCTGCAGATATTCTACCAAAAATGTATATAACTATATTTTTGTAGAGTATTTTCCGGTTCTTCTCTACTTCCCATATTCATAAGGATATTCTGTAGACTTAAAATGGTGCCTCTCTCTTCCAAAGTGGGAGAACTAAAAGCCCTTTTGATAAAAGCTGTATTTAATTTTTTGTTGCTCATAGCATGCAATGAGTAATATAAACAAGTTAAAACTTTAATTCATTCAGCTGCTTCAGAGCCCCATACATTCCAATAGGAAAGCTGAACTTAAATCACTCCCATTGAAATCAGTCAGACTCCACATTGCTTAAATCTTTGGCCGAGTTATGCTTGTGGGTCTTGGATCATCAAACTAGGATTCCTGTTTCTAAGTCTTACTAGTCAAATGAATTGTGGGATTAGGCGTAAACTCCCATATTTCAACATAGAGGCTTACCCCCAATTAGGGTAGACCCATTCAGACTGTGGAATTTCCATAAATGTTGACTTACCTTTAGCAACTGATTCAGTGGTCTTATTTTAATTAGAACTCAAGGTGGTTCTTGAGAAGGCATTTGAAAGAATACTGGATTGTTTGTATCTCTTCCTCCGATGGCATAGAAGAGGGATCTGCCCTCTGGGGGATGGAAGCTCACATCTGTTGCTTGTGTGTCTTCATAGAGGCAGAACAAGAGGGCAAATTGTGGGTGTGTCGTGGCTACAGGTATGGTGAGTGGGTGGGGGAATGGGCATTTACGTCCTAAAGCTTGTATATGCTATTTCTACCCTACTGGTTATAGTGGAAAGGAAATTATTTTAAAATAAACATCCTGGGCCATGAGTTATTAACATGAGTTGTTGGTTTGTGCTTCTCCCTTCTAACTGCCCTGTGAGTCCAGCCAGTGCTACAGATGGCAGCTTTTAATTCAACCATCTTATATTTACTAACTAATAGGTGGGGGAAAAGGAATACATATTAAGTAGAAATTCAGTGTTCTCTCAACACTGTCTGAACTGTGTGTGTTGTCTTGAAACTATTAATAATGTGAACTTGTTGATGTTTTCAATTCAGTGTTTATTTTGCTTACTCTGTATATCTTCAGTGCACTATTAATATGAGATCGTAATTCATCTGTAATAACCTTTTTACCCTATATTACAGATCTAATCAGGTGGCAGTAGTGTGATCCTTTGGGAGGGCATTGTAATGGCCTCTGGAATAATTTATATTCCAGTTCCAGACAATCAGCAATTATATTAATCTTGTTTATACTTTGCATCTTTACAGCTCTTTTTGTTATTTTTGTTACAGGTCAGATTAGTACAGGATTTGAGGGCAATGAATGAAGTCACTAGAGACATTTTCATAATGCTTTCTGCAGGTGTAGGCCTTGCTTATTTATTTCCCTTCACTATATGTATATATGCATATACTTTAAGGTGGAGAATTAAAAAACAGTGTGAAGGTGCAAAAGTATACAACTATTCAAGAACTGCCATAGGGGTGTCTTCTAAAATAGGGTTTGGCAGAATGTAGATGGTAACTATGGACAAGTTGCAGTAGATCAACACATATATATGACTCCCTTTTAGGATACTTTTTTATTATTAAAAGCAGCATTAACAGCAGCAGCAATAAAAATGACACACACACCCTTAAACACTGTGGGCAAAAATGCTTGAGGGCAGAGGGTACTGGAAGTAAATCTGTTTAAGGACTGAAGCTTTAATCCTATCATTTTTGGGTTCTCAATTCCTCAGTTTTTTCTAGCTGTATGAAATTGGTGGCTGTTGGGGGTTCTAGTAAAAACAAGTAAATCTTCAGTGGGGAACAGGCTGCTGGCTTAGGCGGAATATGCTATGGCAATAGGTATTCTGACAGAAATGCTTTGGCTGACGGTAGAAGACTAAATGGGTTATTCTGGGATGCCACTCAATCTTTTGTAACCAAAGCCCCTTTTTTCCTCCATAGGCTCCCACACTTATCTCTTTAATGATATGAAAGGGAAAGTTGGGGAGGGGCAAAAGCATTTTTGTTTTGCCTGCTGTAAGCCTGCAGCACTCTGAATGTGGTTGTTCATCAATGGATACTCTCGCCTCCACTGCCAATACTTAGTACTTTATTAGTGGCATCTGGTTAAGAATAACTGAACTGCTGTTGTGATGAGTGAACAAGCATGAGGCATCTATATTATAGAGATCCTTTATTTGAAAGGAATGTTTTTTTCCCATTTTAAGCTACAAAACAGTTTTCATTCATTCTGCCATAAATAAAAACAAAGATAAGGCAGGACAGACATCACATGAGCAAATTGAGAACAGCTGTTTTGTGTTCCAGCAGTGTGAATTTAAAATATTACACAATTATATTCCACCCAGTTTTTAAAATAAAACTGTCAGAACTCTCAAAAGATTTCAAGTGGCAGATGGGGATACATTTGAAGAGCAAACAAGTGCAATTCAGACATTTTGCATGGTTTGTATTCAAACATTCTTAATTTCTGCCAGAGCGGAATGTGCTCACTCTTGGAGTCATCTGCCGTTTTTCTTTTCTGATGATGAACCAGCTGGTAAAAAAGAGGCACCACAGTAATAAAATAACCCCCAGTTGCAAGATGTGTGTTAGAAACGCCTATCCCTTTTAAACATTTGATTTGTTGAATGAAAAAAAAGTTACAAATCCTTTGTTTTTTCACAGTTCCATATGCAGTCTGTCTCACCGGATTCGCTTTTGTTGTCGTGCTCTGTAAATGTCATGAATGGGAGGAACCACTGATCCTTTTTCTTCTTCTTCATCTGAATCTTCATTAGGTCTTTTGACAGATTTATTGAGTAGGGCATTATTTTCTAAAGGTCCATTGCCTTCCATTGATAGGTCAGGCAAGCCTCCAGTGATGATTCTTACAGCTTCATCTACAGCTGTGGAATAGAGAGGAATATTGTTGGCTTTACAAATAGTATATCTGCTCAACAGTTATGGAAGAGGTCCATTATCAATATCAGAGAAGCCCAGTTTATTTCAGAAGTCCTAGGGAGAATACTACACATGGAACTTGGATTCTTGTCTGTAGTTTGAGAAAGCCACATGTACTAAAATTTCTATACCATCTTACACTTCAGTAATGGCTAGGACATTCATACACTTATGAAAAGGTGATTGTGTGAAAATATTTTTAAATTGTAACTCTGTAGCTGGTGTGTTTCCAGCACACCAGACCTCAGAAGAACGAGCCACTATGCCAGTAGCCCATATGCTGCAAGAACACCTCCCCATCAAGGGCAAAACTATATAATCATCCAGTAATCAAACTTTATGTCCCCTACCAAATCACTGAAATATGTGAGAAGGGAAGTTTCTCTAACAGGAGTATTCAGACCTTTGTCCTTGATAAAGTGCTCTACTTCAGTGGTACCTAACCTTTTTTGGGGCTGCGGACTGGCTGGGGGGAATGAGCTCCATGCATGGGGGGGCAGGGGCACCCCTGTGTTTGTGCGCATGACCCTGCCGGCATGTCACACCCACCGCATGAGCGTGACATGCCCACTGCGAGTGTGATACGCCCGCCACGGGTGTGTGACATGCCCACCACCACGCATACGTGGGGGTGGTGGGGATCCGTATCCGCTGCCCGTGTGGTTTGCACCCTCAAGCTTGAAGAAAAAGATTTCTAAAGAGGTACACTTGCACTGAGGAGCTGTAGATTCAGCATGTCTGCTAAATACTTACAAAAGCAAACATTTCCTTCAAACAATATTCATCCCATGACAGGTATTAACCTTGCTAAAATGCATTTGCTTCTTGAAGTGTGAGATGGTCTTTATTGGCATTGAATTAAAAATAGTAGTTAACAAACTAAAGCTTATTGAGCTTATTGTGTTCAGTGGTTTTTCATTTCCCCGGTTCTCCTTGTCCTTTTATATAATGATAGCAAAAAATTAAAATGTGAACTGTTTTTGCAGATTCATGATATGATATGTGGTTTTGCAATTTCTGAATCTGACTTTAGTTTACAGCTAGTTATGTTTCACCTTTCACTCTGAGGACTCTTAAATTTCAAGGCCAGTTTCCTATTAACAGAAGTTAAAGAAGCTGACTCATATTACATTATCTGTTTTGAAAATGAAATGACTGGTCAACTACACCCACATGTCAAGATTAGTGTTTTGCAGGTTTCTACCCAATCCCATTCAAGGAAAGGGGCAGTGGGGCTGATCCTCACACAATTTGTCTTTCCCCTGCAGATCCTATGGCTCCTGAAAAGCTGGCTTTGGAGGGCCGGGTGGGAGCTCTGGCGGAAAATGTAAGAGGCACTTCTGGGGGAATCTGCAAAGATCACTTTCTCACCACCTGGCAGTGGGACCTATCAAGACTAGAAACCCTTCTGGTTACAGAGTGGCTAATCTGGATTGAGTCCGTATATGACAGTGTTGTCAGCCCCTGAATTGGGTAGTTTATCAAATAACACTGCCATCCCCAAAAGTTTATACTGCTTTGTGATACAGTGCTACTCAGTGATCCCACCATATGTCTTTAGCAACACAGAAGCAACTTACTGTCTGGCAGTTTGCATCTCCTGACAATCTCCATGAGTTCATCCACTTGCACAAATGGGCCCTGCAAAAGGAAAAAATGAGGCCTCTTTAAACAGGAAATAATGGCATATACCCATTATTAATTAAAAAGTATTAATGCACTAAAGCAAAGTGTTACCAGATTACAAAGACATTAAAATTAAAAAGCATGTATCCTGACCTGAAAACACACAGGAGGTGGAAGAAGCTTCATGAGAACGACAGCAGCAGGTGGGACAGGAAAGACACCGCCAGGGACTGGATGTAAACCTGGAGCTAGTTAAGTGATAAAACAATATGCATTTCAGTCTTAATTGGTCAATGGTTATGTTTTCTTAAAAGAACATTGAGATATTGACATCATTCATAAATACTAAATTGGCTTAGCCACTATTCTCAAAGGGCATGTTTGAACAAAAAATGAACTGTAAAATCAAGGAATCTTGCTTTTTTCTTTTTTTAAAAAAGAGCAAATCTGACCAAGTCAGAGGACAGCTTTCTTTTTAACCTTTACCCAATTTAGGGATCAGCTTACGTGCTAGATGCCTTGGCTGAAATGGAATCATCTGCTGGGTATCCGGTTTCGGATACTCTGGTTTCCTGTCTGCTTCATCTTTTAGCACTGGTACTATTGAAGGAGCTACAACAGGATCTGGAATTATGGTGGCTAGCTTTGCTCGAGAAACATCCTAGAACGTGTATCAAGAGAAGAGACATCAATTACATCTTTTTCAAAAGAAATCTGATGACTATATCAAACCTATGTTGAGGCTAGGAAGCAGCCCAGCTACGACATGGGAACAATCTTCTGCACAATAAGGTTAGACAATGATCTTTAAGGTCGGTATAAAACTCCATAGCTAATGCTGCCCATTTTTGAATAAGAAAAGTGATGCATCAGTGCAGACTAGTAACTATTAGCTGCATTTCAAATAAAAGTTCACCCAAAATGACTTGTTGCAAATAGTGCACATTATTACAAATGTCGGCAGTGCATGCCCCTATTGACTCCCAATATGCAGTACTGTATACTTGTAGAATAGAAATAACCTTTAAAGAGAAATACCCTCTCTTAGCTTCTTGATTTTGAGCACTGATAAAACAAGAAAGTTGAAATGAGTATTTGTTTAGTTCTCATGGGAGCCAATGTGAGTTTAACGGTTTGACTCTTAACAAAATACACTGTTTTGGAGGGTCTGTGGCTCAGTGGTGCTTTGCAAACAAAAGGAACCAGGTTCATTTCCCAACATCTACAATTAGATTGGGGAAGGACTCCA